CGACACCTGAAGCAAGTGTTTTAGGTGATGCGGGAGGCGAAGTTGTACGCAAACTTGAAGAAATGCGTCTTCTGCGCACCGGCGATACCGGTGCTTGGCTGTTTCAATGGCGTCCGGGCTGCCCCGGGGAAGATCTCGTCCATCTGCGCGTGGTCGATTCCTTCAAATCCCTCAAAGCTGCGGCAATGGCTGGGCCTTGCGAGCTATCTCCACAAGTACAGCAAGAACTAGGTCGGGCTGATCCAGCCGCTCTCGTCGCTACTGAAGAAAGACGCCGCGTGGTCGTGGCACCCGAGCACCAGGAAGATATCGACCTGGTGAAGAAGAGCTTGGCAGCCGCGCCAATTCTGATGCTGCCCAACGAGCCCAAGCCGTTCCATGTCGTATGCGATGCCAGTGACTTCGCGATTGGATGCGCTTTTATGCAGCTTGACGACAATGGTCGGGAGCGCGTTGTCAGCTATCAATCGCGACAGATGCAGTCCGCAGAACGGAGCTATCCCGTTCACGACACGGAACTTGTGGCAATATGATACGCCCTGATTAAGTTCATGGTGTACTTGTTGGGGGGAACAGATGTTCGTCGTTTACACGGACCACGCTACAAACAGCGATGAAGAGTCCGCAATTGTCTCAATGCATGGCGCGTTAACTGTCGTTCTTCTCGGAGTATCACTGCGTAGTCCACTACAAGCCCGGCAAAAACAATATCCTCGCCGACGCTCTGTCGCGTCGCCCCGATTGCAATCATCGGGGCGCGCTGCCGTCTAAAGATGCTGTCGACATTGAAGAGCCGTGTGCCACGTGCGTAACGTTGGGCCTGATCCTGACGAGCGTCGCTCCAGTGCTGTCGCTCTGGGACGAGGTCACCGCTGCCTATGAATATGATCCTATCTACTCGAAGATAAGCAGCACCTTCAATCTCCCAGCGATGTCACACGGCAAGCCTTGCCACATTCATCTCGCAATCAGATTCATCGATACCAACTCGATGACGAGCTGCTGACGTACAGCATCAACCAGTGTGATTTTCACCGAATAGTAACCCCCAATGACCCCGACTTGCGCTCACGGATCGTCCACGAGTTCTACGCCCCCATCAGCGGCCACCTCGGCCGTGTCCCGCGATTTCTACTGGCCCCACTTGTGCAAATGGGTACGCAAATGGGGACCCAGCGAGATTTGTCAGCGTGTCCAGCCTTTCCCGTCGTCGTAGGCGCCATTACGCCCGCTCCCAGTTGCCACGGAGCCGTTAACATCAGTCTCAATGGACTTTGTCCTCGCTCTGCCGCCTGACCCCGAAGGCCGGACGGGCGCCCTCAGCTTCGTCGATCGATTTAGCAAAATGGCTCACTTCGTGCCCGTTCATCTTGCGATCACCGCGGAGGAATTCGCGGCGCACTTCGTCGATCATGTATTCCGTCACCACGGACTTCCCGAATCCATCGTCTCCGTCCGTGATCCTCGCTTCACGGTCGCCTTCTGGGCCAAACTCTTCGCGCTACTAGGCACGAAGCTGATTATGTCTACTGCTGCGCACTCGGAGACAGACGAACAGGCTAAGCGGGTGAACCGGGGTTTCGAAGACGTAATTCGAAGCTACGCCACATAATTTGCCAACTGGAGCCATTTCCTCCCATTGGCTGAGTTTGCACTGAATAGTGCCGAACACGCGTCCACTGGACTAACTCCCTTCTTCGTCTACACCGCGCGGCACCCACGCGCTCTGGATCCTTTCGCCGTGGGTCATCCATCCCACGGCGCTGCGTAGCTTCACTCTGGTGGGGGAGGAAATCAAAAAGCCGAGTGCAGCTCCCAAGTCAACAGCGCTCAGCACGATCACACGCGCGCAAGCAAAGATGCCTCTTACGACGCCGCCCAACACGGCGTCGGATGAACTACACGCTCGCTGATTACCCCGGGAGCTAGTCTGACGCCCGCTGCTAGCAGCGAGCTACGCGCCGAAGCAGTCGGCGCGACCCATCGATGAGTCCAAGGTGTCCAAGTTCGTCCTACTTGCAAAGGCCTGGCGCGATTCGTTCGTGGCGCCCATCAGTCCGCCGTCGATCAGCAGAAAGAGAGCGCCGACAACCGCTGCAGGAGGAACACCGCCTCCTTCGCGACAGGAAAGCAAGTCCTCCTGTCGACAGACGGCGTAAGGAGCTCTGCGACTACTAACCTCGGCGCGAATAAACTCGCTCCGCGCCTTATTGGCCCATGCAAGATTTCGAAGGGCTGCGTGACGCCTATACGCTCGATATTTCAACGATACAGCTGACATTTTACGTCGGGCGGCTCAAGAAATACCATCCCGCTACGGCCCCTGAGACGGCTCAGCCGGTGCCGCTACGAACGTCAAACGTCCCTCCCGCCGCGCGCGGATGCGCTCCAACACCCGGACGCGCAGCAGCTCCCGATTCCACTACCGGCGAGCAGTCACAGTCTGTACAGCTTCCGTCGACTGCTGAATCGCAGCGTCCACCTCGCGCAGCGTTTCCTAATAGTGTTTCTCCCCCGCGTCGTCGCTCGGTCCAACCGGAACCCAAGCGCTATCGGCGCGACGGTCTGCCTCCCATTGCTGACGCTGCTGGGGATTGACGGTGGGTTGTGGATCGCATCGTGAGACACGAGGACCCTCCTCGCGCGCAGGGCCGCCTCATGCCAGTCAGACGATCCCGGCCGTTCGTCAATATCAGGTCCGCTGGTTTGGGTTGGGAGCACCGCGCCAGTCTCCTCCGCGACGTTCTAGACCTGGTCCACGAGAATGAGTCGCTTGTTGACTCCGAGGATCCGCTCAGGTCGTCCGTGACCCCGATCGTGAGCGGCGATCACGGGCCGGCGAAGCAGGACGGCGTCTCGAACGGCCGCGCGAGCGTGACCGAGAGCGAGATCTAGAGCGAGACCGAGCCGTGTGACCATCGCCCGCCCTGGCAGCTGTCAGCGGAGATCGGCTCCGCTGTGAATGCCGTCGGGTTGCCTCGGCGGTGCTAGTCGTTCGAGATGCCTCGGAGAGAGCTCGCCTGTAGCGCTGAATCCAATCATTCTCAGCAGACCCGAGTGGACGCTCGGCGACGTGCTGCTTCCAGTCCTCCTTTGTCGGGCGTGACCCGGTGCACGTTTCGCAGCCTTCGGCTACGCGCACGTAACACATGCGGTCACAGTCGAGAAAAGTGAGCCGCAGACCTTGCTTCGCAGCTCGCTGAGTGAGTGCTCAGCGACGATGCCTTCTCGGCGCTCCAGCTAAGAGACAAGGCTCTCACTCGTCTGGGTTATCAGGTTCCAGCGTTTGATGAAGGCACATCACGACTCCTGCTGCGCTCCGTACTCGACGCCCTCGATGCCCTCCCGCCGCAGTCCACGAAATCGACCAAAACGATTATTCATGGCGTCCAGGCTGTCCGGGTTGTTTGCCTCGAACAAGTCATACAAGTCCCACGCTCGGATCTCGCCATCCATGACGCGCGGACGGCGCAACAAGTCCCTCACCGGCGCCGGCGACGTCACCGTGAAGCGGTGAGGAAGCTCACAAATAAGATAGACTTAACTCTTAGTAAAACAGACTCTGATTTAATTTAGGAGCAGGACAAGAGCCCTAGACCTATGAGAACCACTCATAGGCAGGTCGACTTATGACTGGCTATATAATTTTCCGCTTTTAGCTAATCAGAGAGCGACAATGCAGCACACGCTAACCGTGTGCTTCTTCTACCTACTTTTGTAAAAGAATCTACCTACTTATGTAATTGGGGAGGGTCCATTACATCACCCGCCATTCTAAGTTACGCTTACGCAACGTAAGGTCGATAATCTTATTCTGCCAACCGTGGAGATGATCAATGGTGAGAGCGTCGAGGCCCCCTGATAAGCGCAGGGGGGAGGGGGGGGCACAGCTCAACAAGCGCCGAGCAGACCAGAGCACAACAACAGACAGCGACGATAGATTCGCAGGCACGCACGGACACTTCGCACACGGACTCTTTGGTGTGCGCTAGTAACGGTAAAAACATAGTCCGTTACTGCTTGAGTCCATCGTCGCTCTCCTCGTAGTCTACAGTATCCGAGTCGACTTCAGAACTCTACTCCGACTTGCTCTGAGAGTTGTCGTCCACATCAGACATGTCGCTTCCGACGTCATCCTCTTCATCAGAGATGCCGTCGTAGTCGGGCTTCATCACGAAGTCGAGACGATGCATCGAGCGATGCGCATATGCGGGCCTTCCACACGTCGAAGTTCTCGGCACCAACGAGGCGTGAAAAGTCGTCACTTGAGGCTTAGCTTTGGCTCATAACCTATGGCGAGGCTAGCGGGGAGCATCGTGAAGGAGGTAGACTTGAGTTGTAAGTGTCAAAGGACGAAGTGAGACTCATTAGAATTAATAAGTGCTTAAGAGCTACACACCATCCATTGAAGAGGATGAGGTCCATTATAAGCATAGTGAGAGATATCGGCTTAAGGAGGCCCTTCTACCTGTATATATTCTCTTAAAGAGTTTCTGCTGTGAGTAACCATAATGTTTAGAGGCTACTTCAACACCATCTCGATCGGTTTCGTGTCACAGTGAAATACTAGATCAAATACTCATCAGTTTTGAAGTCTGCCATCACTACTGCTGTTTTAGAACCTGACCGAAAGGGTTCTTTGGTGGGCCCTGTGCAGGTAAGGTGTCAGGAAACGTACTTAAGTGGGAAATATTTTAAAAAAAAAAACATCTAATATTTTCATCTCTGAGCTTATATTAGAAACCCATGTTAGCTTTTAATATTTTGAGCAACTTTTCATATTCAATTTTAAAAATAGTAAGATTGATATTAGATATTTTATTTGATATTTGTTTCATTCGTCTACAATCTCTTTATTAAAGAGATGATTGCATTACATGTATTTAGCTTTTGTGGTACCGGTAATACCGGCTGATAATTAGTCTGCAAGGGCCCCAGTATTTGGTCAGCACAAATTGCCTGTAATCTTTTGGTCACAAATCGGACCTCGAATTGTGCGGCTCCCAACGAAGCGCAACGACGACACCAAGACAGATATGAGCTGGCGCGCGCAGATCTCCCGCAGCATCCAGGAGCTTCGCTTCGTAGCATGTGACACCTCGCAGAGCAGCGCGGGATTGCGGTCCGTGTCGTACTCTCCAATTTGCCCACCTTGCTCTGTTACCTTCGCTTAAAATCTGACGTTCCGGTGGTTTTGTGTCACATGCAGCACCTTCTTCCGCAAAAACTACGCGGAGCTCAAGATGCTGAACCCGTGTACGCCCTTCGTGTACCGTGAGGCAGAAGAGATGGAGCCGTTTGTGTACGCACGGTTCGGTTGGGGCGTGGAGAAGAAGATACCGGTGCCTGGCAAGAGCGACAAGGAGATCCTGACTGTGCTCAAGGGCCTCGTAGACCACGGTCTTGCGCTTCCCAAGTCGCCTGAGAGCGACATTCTCGTGGCTGCTCCCATCATCGAGGCTTCCAAGGGCGAGAACGCCTATGAGCCTATCAACCTCACGTGGGACGGCAAAACGATCCGTCGCAACCCGGACTTTGACATCCCGCTGGAGGAGGCACTCAAGCCTTAAGAAGTGACTACAGAGAAGGACAGGGACGTCATCGCGTATAGTTTTCTGAATAATTGCAGATGCAGGTGACGCCCACCTTGATGTGGAAAATGAAAAACAACAGGATGAAACAGTAGGATGTATACTGTATACGCTTTCAGATGGGGGCACCCGTGGGTTCTTTTAGCGCATCACAAATTATCTACGATGGCATTAGTCCCGTGACCATACAGAACAGGCAGCTAAGACGATGGAGGCACAGAGCCCACCACTGCGGGGCCTGGGGCAGAGTGCAATTGCTGCTCAATCAACTGCGCTTCAAGCTGGGGAGGCAGCTCCTCGCCCTCCTGAATGTTTGTCCTTCGGTCTCCGCGAATGGCACGCATCACACGCTCTTGCTCGTCGTAGTGGTGCTCGAGATCATCAAGGTGGAGACTGTACGTCTCGATCAGACCCTGACGAATTCGAAAAGGCAGGAAACTTGCGATGGGCTCAGTCAACAGCATCGCATCCAGCTCGAGAGGCACACTCTCCTGTTGGCGATAGAACGATGCATACACACGAGTTAGTCAGGGTTGAATGCAGTGCAAACCTCAACACGTTTGTACCAGGAAGGAGGCAACAGCCGTCAGCCAAATGGCCAACCCCCACGCCGCATGGGAAATCGTTCCAAAGACGCTTGCCCAGGACAGCTCCATGACATGGCGGAAGCGGAAAATGTAATAAATATACTTTGCCGTGCCCACGCCAATGTATCCGAAGCCCAACAGCAGCAGACCTAAGCCCATCAAAGTAAGTATTTTGCCAATACGAAGGAATTATGGTGTCATTAACGCACCTGCCCCACTCAGCTGAGCTCCGCGGTGATGCTCCTGCGCGTACATTGCAACTCCGACGGCCGAGGACAGCACTCCATTTCTCGCCCAGTTCAGATATGAATTCTCGTTACTGAAGCGCAGCGTCTGTCACCGCAACACGCATAAGTCGCGCATGAAAACCATCACAGTACCGTCGTGAATACGATGCAGCACATCATTAAAGCCCACAGCATCCAGTCATTCAGGCCTCACCAGCGAGTTACGTAGTCGGTGAATGGCGTCCGCTTCTGCTGCTGCAGCGGCCTCCTTCACCGCTTCTTCCGCCGCTCTCTTTGCCGCCTTCACAGCTGCATTTAGGGGCTTTTATTTTTAGTCAATCATCGAATCGGCAATCCACCAGTTCGTCTATTCAAACATACATACCATTGTTTTGCTTGATTTTCAGCAACCTGTCTACCTGGTACCTTCCCAGCAGCAAATAGGCGCCAGATCGAGGCTTCGAAATACGGCCGCGCTTGCTCTTGAAAGCCGTCGTCGCTATCGTCGATCCAGATGTGGGCGCGTGGGTCGCGGGTGTCACCGCCGCGTTTTTGGCCACATTGACAGCACTTGGGGGTTGCACACCTGTCTTGTAGCGCAGCCCCATTGCACCACGAGGTACTGCGTTAATGGGGGTGCTCAATGTAGCACGCAACCCCCGCGAGGCGATGCGGCTCCAGCACATCATGCTTGATGTGCTGCCTAAGTCGAGTGAGCTCTGAAGTATCATTTGCAAAGCCTGATTTTCATTGGTCGAAACAGGTTCATTTTGATTTAAAATTTCAGTTAAATCCGATTAATCTAGTCCAGACCAAATTTCAAATTTCGTTTCGCAAGTCAAAGTGCAAGGGGAAAGATGGCGCCGCGGGCAAGCTTCGCTACCGAATTCCTGTTGCGTGAGCTGCTCTCTGCTCTCGGTGCACCCCTCACCGTCGACTCTGCACCCGCGGACAGCTTCTCTGAGAGTCTTAGTGAAGATACTGAGCCGCAATCCGCTGCCGATGGTGTCCAGTCTCGTGTCATGCTCGTACGCCGCACCAACAGCTCCCGACACACCGCAACGCTCGTAGACCGTGAGTATGACGTCGAGGCGTTCATTCCAAGTCACGTGACCGCTATATTGCAGAAAGAACGCGGCTATCAGACACTCGGACGGCTACGAGGCAGCGTCATACGCATCACCAAGTACCACTTCGCTACAATGACGCGCTGTCTGTCCGCAGACAAGCAGAACCGAGCGACGTCAGTATCTGCACCCAATGTAAGCACAGGAGACGCTCGCGTTTATCTGTGGGTGGACGCACTAGCTATCGTGGAGGACAATGAACTGGCCGTCCAGCCACACCCTGGCGTGTACAGTCATCCTTTAGTGGAAGAGCGACTAAAGTCATTAAGTGACTCGGAGTTGGAGAAACAGCTGATGATTAATCAAGGACTCTATCCTCTTAAAACCACTACAAGCGACAGATTCGATGACGACCGACCGCTTTTGGACGAGGATTGTGTCATCCCGGAGGACCAGGAGCAGGAACTGGAAGAGCAGGACGAATGGGGACCACCAACCGCTTTGGAACGACAGCCAACCGACTCGGAACTAATTGAGGAAAATGGTACTGTGCCGATACCCGAGTCGCAGGTTGTTCGTGGCCCTGTGTCGACGCAGGACTCGACGGTGTCGTCGAGGAATCTGTCAGTGACGCTGTCGGGGAACCCGTCGGTCTCGTTGAGTGGCGAGTCCTCACTAGACGGCCAGAGGTTCCACTTTCAGCAGGAGAATATCCTAGAGACATTTGTACCTGGCAGCGATGTGGAAAGCAGCGATACAAAAGATCTAGACGATGAATTGGAAGAAGCAGAGACTAGCACGCCGAAGTCTGGGAGAAAAGCTCGATCCAATACAAAACATTCGCCTGCGGATTTTAGCCCAGCGCCGACGCAAGCGATAGCTGACCTGACTGAGAACTCTACTCGAAAGCCTCCTCAATCGACAACTGCTACTAGAAGAAATGGGGTCAGAAACAAGAAGGAGGAAGCTACTACTGATGTCGATGGTTCAGAAGAAGCTGCTACTGATCCGCATAATTCTTCGCACACATTGTCGAAGACACATCACCCAACAAAGAAGCAACCAACACCCAAACGATGGCCTGAAATTTTTAAAGTGCTGAACCCGCTGAACATTTTTACCTCTAAATCCACCGAAGATGGCGGCGCCAGCCTCTCTGATGGAGAAGAAGGAGAATCGCTTGGAAATGACGAGCAAGTAACGCAAATTCTGGATCAACAGGACAAGGTGGAGGACGAGGAAGAGCTTAATGACACTGAGGGCAAGCTGGCTCCAGAGGAGTTCATGTCGTCTCAAGCGACTGTTGTGTTGCAGTATGCTGTGGATAATGACGAAGATGCCAACGCTTTCGAGTACGAGGGTATGACGTCTCCCAGGTCAGTGATTATCGAGCACGACGAGGAGGAAGCGCAATCAGCAGAGCGAGAGCAAACAGACTGGGCCGACGATCTGACGTTGACTGAAGAGGGAGCTGAAGTGGCAGTCACCCCGCAGAAAAAGTCCGAGTCGCAGAGCGATGCTGCCGACTTCAAAACCCCTTCGCCGTCCGGGCATGTCTCGACGCCAGGCACAGAAAAGAGAGCGGGGGGGACGTCAACGATATCGACAGCAGCTCTAAAGACTCCGACTGATAATAACGACCTTCCTACTTCCCCTCCAAGCTCCAAAGAGCCTGTTCTACCGACCGATCCGTCAGGACAACTATCTCCAGGTAAAAGCCCATCGACGCTCGTAATATCGGTTGGCTCTGCTGGGTGTAGCTCGAACCGGATTAACCGTACTGGTTTCTCCACTACCATGCCTCGAGGTTCTAAGCGTCGTCTTCAGCAAACTACCTCCGATGGCCCATCGCCTGTAACTACGTCTGAAAAAGACAATGCGTCAGAATCGAATGCACACAAGGAAGCTCATTCACGCACTAAACAGAAGCGTCGTCGACGCGATTTCCTCTCTGAAGGATCCCAATCTCCTCAATTCGAGCAACCAACAGCGCCTTTGCTTCCACAACGGAACCTTCCACCTGATCGCCGGACTGTCGTCACGGATAGTTATTCACTCGATGCGGTGTGTCGGTCACTGGGCTCTAATGCACGACATCAACATAATGAAGAGACTCACGCGCGTTCATCACAACCACGTCGTGCTTGGAAACGATACGAGAGTCTCTTCCCGCCACTGAATATGAATCGATTAAAGCAGATGATGGCGGAAGGCAAACGCAACAAATAGGGGGCTAGGAATCACACCACCAACGTATTTTCTTTTAAGTCAAGTTCCAATACACATAATACGAATGGCTACTACAGTAGCTACGGTATTTAGTCTCACTCATACTAATTTATGTGAGGTGCTGCAGACTCTGCTCACCTAAGTTAGTATGAGTGTGGTTAATTATGCACTCTGACTATTTAAGGTGTGGTAGAATTAGTCACACTTAGACTAATTAATGTCTCACCCTAATTAGTCACACTAGTTTACGATTGTTGAGAAGCTGGTCTGGTTATTCTTTTGTTTTTTTGTGTGTTTGTTTGCCATATCCAATGGAACCGCTTGTCCAGCAAATTGATCTGGGAACTTCTTGATGATTACTTGAAGGTGGCTGAATAGCTGTTCAGTTCTCCATACACCATCAACATCCAGCGAGAGTCCGCATCGAATCATGGCTTTCCGAGCGTAGTTCACATTATTCTTGTCCCTTTGAGAGTTGACTTGGCGTACTGCTTTAGCAGCCAGGGACAGAAAAAAATGCTTTCCTGGATTCTTAAGTTTTCCTGACCAGGTTCCATCGGACCTCTTTTTGTTTTGCCATGCCTCCTCCTCAATCAACTCGATCTTTTTCTCATTCCACATTCGACGCCACTCGTCCTTTATCTTTGCGATAACGAATGAGTCCGCCGGCTGACAGAGATCCGTTGCGTTTGCTGGAAAGAAGGCTAAAGAAGCGTTTAACCTCTGAAGCTCTTCAGTACACTCGTCTTCCTCGAGGTGACTTGAGCAGTTATCTAGGAATATAGTCTTCTTGCGACCTAAACGATCCGTTTTGAGCTCGAGGCTCTTTCAGATACTCGCGAAAGAGACGTTTGTCCATCCAGCCCTTCGGCCCCGTACGATAACACACTCCTTCCACGTCATCCTTAACTCCACGAATTGGATAACTACGGTCTGCGTTCGTAAAAATCATCATCGGGGGCAAGATACGTGCACTTGGCCCACGCTGATTCGCACGACCATTGTCATTCCATCCCCTCCGGATACAACATCCGCATATTTGACCTGGTTTTCGCCTCCAAAACCGAGAGTCTTGCCGTTGTCAAAATCTACAACGAAATGAGTTTCATCGATGTTTTCAATCGCATTCTCGTCATACAAACCGCTCTTAAACCCACGCTTCAACTTGCCAAGGTGATAGGCCACTTGCTTCTCAATATCTTCAACCTTCTGAGGGCTCACCAGTCGTTTACCTGTTGCAGCACGAAGTACTATGTTGTTGTTCTCCATAAAGGTTTGCACCCAGCGTGAAGTGATCTTTGTCAACAGCTCAGCCCCGTTCTCATCAGCCTTTGGAGCTTGAGGATCCTGGAGGATACGCTTAGCTACTTGACGTAGCAAGGATGCGTCGAACTTCAACCCCAATTTACGTAATCGATCAAACACGCTTAGCAACAAAGGATATATCCAGAGCACCCACTTGCTCCGAGGACGACCTCGGCCGGACAAAGCCTTAGAGTTCACTCGTTTTCTTCTATCTGATCGTAAACTCGACAGTGACACAGAACCCCGGAGTGGCGCTTGAAGTTGCTCTCGATTCTTCCACCAGGCCATCGCTTTGCTAAGGTTAGCATTGCGAGTAGACGAGTTAAAAATATCAGGAAATTGATCTACAGCTCTCGCGAACATGTTCTTCGCTCCCTTTGCTTTTTCATATTCTTCCATCCAGGAGATGACACGACGGCGATGCTGGATGGTGGTAACCTGTTGTGACGCTCGAGATGATGTTGACGTTGGCAACTCAGTCACGACCACATTGGAAATAGAGATTATGTCGTCTTCAGAGCTCTCTTCTGAGTCGTCATCGTTGGCATCATCCTTCGAAGAGATCGAATCTTTTGCTCCCTGTAGCGCGAAAGCTTTTATGATAGGAGGAGCTGATATAGCTTGAGGTTTGCCTGAATCACAGTCTGGACAGAGAACATGCTGTCCAAAGCCCTCTTGTCCGACAGGCTTCCCACAAAATGGGTGCATATGAACAGAGCAGATTGGGCAGACGTGAATAGGACCAACGAGGTCACCACAGCTACCACACGGGGAAAGTTGAGCTGAGTTGGAGCTCATTAAAAGACAGTTCTTAGAGGGAGAAGAGGCGTTGGTGTGTTGGAAGAATTTCTGGAATGAGAATAGACCACATTAGCCTCCAAAAGGCGTTGGTGTGTTGGAAGAATTTCTGGAATGAGAATAGACCACATTAGCCTCCAAGAGACGCTGTCACATAAAAATAACATTTCCAATTATAAAATATCAAATACTCTTCAAATAAGCTTAAGGAAACTGCATAGCTATTATTCTATTAAAAGTATAATTCATATCCTTAAAAACATACCCGCTGCTTCGTAGTGTGCCGCGTTGAGGGTAAGTGGGAAACCCACTTTTATTAAATGACCTGTTATTGTATCACCAGTAAAACGCGAGCACCGTCCGTTGCTGCGGAGGGACTCGAACTCACGCCAGGAGCGTAAACCGGGCCAGTCTTTTCCACTGCGCCAATTCGAATGCCCAAAATAAGGTGATACTAATTATGAACTCAAACTAATTTTGAACACGACATTTTCTTGCTCACTGACTAATTTCGAACTGTGACTATTTATTCACACAGACTAATTACCGTAGGCACTGTACCGGTAAACCAGGTTAACAGCTCCCACTTTAACCCCTTAGTTCCCGGCCTCAAATATGAGGGTATATTTTGACCTCGTCCCATATACAGATATAAAGGAATTTGTATGGGGTTTCGGATATCTTGGCGCGGGTTCGGGGTGGTAACAACGACTTGCCAGTGTGTATAGTACGGATTCTCCAACATAAAGGAGGGTTTATGTAGTACATTGAGACGATCATATACAACTATGCTGTATAAATAAACATAAGATATGTACTGTTTATTGATTAGCCTATCTTTGTGCTGTTGCATACGTCCAGCAGCGGTGAGTTCATTTATTATAGCCAATAACAAGAAATATCAAGTGCCGTATCAATTGATTGCTCCTTGCATAGACATGTACGACCAGACGGCGCAGCCACTACGCCTCCTCCTCCACCGCTTCATCATCTTCTTCGCTCGACTCCCCAGCACCAGCACCATCGCTTGCTCCGCTCTCGCCTACCTGCTGTCTGCGTCTCCGCTTCTTGCCTGGCCGCGACGCTGGCGGTCGTTCACGTGTCCTGTGCTCTTGCAGTAGGTCGCGCGGGATGTCGTTGCCGTTGTTCCAATCAGCATGCCAAATGCTGAAGCACGTACTGACCCTGCCTTCACGCGGAACGTTGCATAGGTATTTACCAAATCAAAACGAGTTAGCCAAAGCTTACGGTAAGGGTACCAAGCGAGCTACGCACCGTTTGTTCCCGTTCGAGCACTCCGGGCAGAAGTATTTCGTAAACTTGCGAGGCTTGACCTTGTAGATGGCATAGACTTTGCATGATCGGTGGCGTCGCTTCACACCCTGCTCGCAATCGACAGTATCTGGGTTTTCTTCTAAACAATGTCCGTCGATAGCTGACGATGCGCTTCCTTGTAGCTGTGTTGAATCTGCTCTTGCCGGCGAAGGGGCAGTTCTATCTTGCGCAGATGTCGCTTGCTGTTCCAATACAGTCAAGCCCACCATAAGTTAGTTGTTATGTTGGAAGGCTGCTGAAGCAGATGAGGTTATGTTGACTTGTCAACATTTGACTTACCTCAATCTCGTCAAACGCTTCGATTGAATCTACTGCCAGTAGCTGCTCCATCAGTTCCTCAAAAAACGAGAAGTGTTTTGGCGGGCGCCTGTTGTTTACCTTTCGATAGTGTCGATGAACGATAAACGCGTTCACGAGCGCCATATCCAGAAGCCCCAGAAACAGAGTCTTGTAGTACTTACGTGTTTTGTAGCAAAGTTGCACGCTGTAACGTTGCAACCGGAGTTGATCATGGACGTCGACTCCACCCATCCAGCGGTGGTAGTCGCGAACAAGCTCTGGAGCCGGCACTGGCGTCATTTCTCCGTGGATGCGTCTCACTAGAATACAAATACAATTAGTGCTAACACCCAAATGGGAACCCAATGCATGTAGTACGTACTCACGGTGCCGGTTTGGCGGCTGCCCCCACTTGAGAGCAGGTGCACCGGGCTACGGTCCATCCACATGGCAGCAGTTAGTTGCGGAAACATCTTGTTTTGAGCCAGCTTGATGATACCTTGCGGAGGCACCAGTACCTCGCGCCTGTTCACCTTTTTTTTCTTTTTCGTAGTGATCACTCCAGCAGCGTAACCTGATCTATCCGTCGGTATCGTCCCCGTTAGATACATCCGATAATGAAGCAGCTCCAGCGCCAGCTTGACCGACGTGTAGAAACGGTCGGTGACGACTAATCTCCATGGAGACGTCGGTGACGGAGATAAGAGAGCTTTCATGTTTCGAAGTACAGCCGCTTCTCCAGTGTTGTTATCCTTTGGAACAATACGTAGATGTGGCTTCGCCCCGCAATAAATCTCAATTCTAGCAGGCAAACACATCAACAGAGACGATTATGTTAATATTATGTTGTATCAATAGATGGCGCAGGATTCTTATGTTGGACAAGTCAACATAAGTACTTGGGCCAAAAAAAAAGGCAAGCCGAAGCTTGCCTCAAGTTACCTCATGCAGTACGCGGTCTTGGCACACGCAGCAACAAACACCTTCGTCCCCCACTTGTGGGGCTTGTCCTTGTTGAAGATCCTCATGGGATTGTATCGCGAGCGCGAAGGCAGTGCTGCTTCATCGAAGCTGATGACTGGGGGAGCTCTGTATCCACGAGCGAATGTTCGCTGTAGCACATCGAGCACCGGTCAAATCTTCCACGCTCGGTCCGTACGGGCTTGTGGCGACTTGTTGCTCGAAAAGTGTAGATATCCCATGATATGAAAAAAACGATTCTTTCCCATCACGAGACTGAAGCGGTTTGACGGTAGAACTCCAACTTTCTTCATTGACCAATGCGCTTCAATGCCTTTCCGGATGGGGACCAACATACGTGCAATCAGCAATGCCATAACTTGAAGGACCTCGTAAGTTTGTATTTCTTCAACTGCTGACAACCGCCGTCTGATCTCAGCAAGATCTTCTGCTTCGCCACCACTACGCTGTTGCTGTCTGCGAATTGAGCGGGCCCTCGTAGGGATTGACTGAGTATGATAGCGGTTGCTTTCGACAGCAATTTGGGACCAAATCTTCGGCGGCAGGAAAAAGAAGAGCAATGCCAGCGGATCGTCCCCAAGGCGTAGCACGCTGTCACTTGGTCCGTATGGCCCATCATACAACCCAGCATACGTTGGGTCAGGTCCAAATTTAGTCGCGTCTAGATACAACACACAAGGACAAAAACTATGTTAGCCTTTATGTTAACTCAGAAACAAAATGAAAGGATTATGTTGGATTCGGCCAACATAACGTACCATACTCCCAGCCATCGGTACGCATTGCAGTGATCAGTGGTGCGTTCTTCGCTGCGGATAACCACGCCGTGTTTGGAAGCTCCTCGATGTCGTGGTCCGAATCTTCATCTGTCAGCTCTCCAATGTCCCAGTCACCGTCCCAACTATCGTCATCAGCATCGTCTTCGTCTTCAGGTTCCTCACGAAGCTCTGGGTCCTCGTCGGAGTTGAGCCCGGTGCATTCGTCAGCTCCTTCGTCCATAAAGTTAGGGTCTGTGTCAATAACACACGCAGGTACACTGTGCACAACGTCTGCTTCGTTAACACTCTCGTCTTCGTCACCTTGCATTCTCTGTTCACCATACATCACGTACGTTGGATATTATGTTAGACATGTTGTCAGCCACAATCCTTCTAGGTTGGATAAACGAACAAAACGCACCGTGTCATCGTCGCCATCGCTGTCTTCTTGTAGGAGAGCGCGGCGATGCTCTCTTGTCGGCACTTGAGTACTACGCTTTCGTTTTTCAGCACTGGAATCAGTAGTAGCTAACGCGATACCAGACTGTTGGGCAGGCAGCGCAGTCTCAACGCTCAAAACCATGTCCGCGACGACTTCTGTCACCTCCGTCTCGTGGTCTGCTTCCACCTCCATCGCATCCGCTATCGCGGTTGTCTCTATCGTCTCCTTCGCTTCAGCAATCGTCTGGTTTCGCGACCCCTCTTTTTCGCCCGCCGTGTCTGCAACCTGAGCACTTGCTGAAGGAATATACAGACCTTTATACTGCGCCACCTCCATATCTGCCGTTTTGCGCTTGGCAGCCTTCTTCTTTGTCGCCTTCTTCGCCTTCGTCTGCCATGCTCCATCGCTGCCGCTCTTCTGCTCTGTCCGTCGAATGCGGCGCTCGTGACGCTCACTTAGCAGAGCCTCGCAACAGAGGCGCCTTTCTTGCTCGGTGAGGTGGTGACGCGGTGTCTTGGGTGTCGGCGCAACCATGTTGCTATCGGCCGTCGTTTTGAAGAGTGAGGAGGTTGGTGGCTGGTGGCCACTCGCTCGATAGTGGGTGTGTACCTCCCTTTTCTAACTCATTCAACCAAACTAAACCTAAGCCTGTGCATATGACCGTTTTACACTCATATCAATGACTTCATTTCACTATAGCGGGGAAAGGGGGGATATGGACCGTTGCCCCATACAAAATTCAGGTATAAGATTTGCTTATGTTGGACCTCCAACATAAAATAAAAGGTGCAACAGAAGTGAATTAGGGTATACACCCCTTATGTTGGAAGATCCAACATAAAGGAACTAAGGGGTTAAGGCTCATATCCAGTTGTCGGCTCGGCCATCGAGAGCAGCTCGGGTCGGTGAATCCGGTGGTATGAAAAGCGCGAAACGTTTCGTGGTGAGCACGTTGGAACTGCTCGTAGACGTCGTCATCGATGCACACAAAGACAATTTGGGCGTTCCAGTGTGGACGCAGTCGAATCAAATCTCGAATGGCACTGAGCGCAGTATCAGCAGCATGAGGCACAGGAAAGCGATAGAGACCCGTCGAGACGGAAGCCACAGCAGCACACTGGACGTCGTTGTTATCCAGTGCTAGAAACGCGCTCACATACGTCTTGTACAGCAGTTTTTCCGAGTTAGAAGTGCCTCCAGTTGGCCCCACGCAATGTACCAGCAGTCGCATCCCAGAGTCGCAACCCACAGTGCACATGACGTCGCCAACCTTCGGATGGTTTCGCATATTGAGATTCATTACAGCTTGATCGAGGGCGGGGCCTGCACGCTCGTGCACGCGACCATCAACACCTCTTCCTGGGTTTCGAAACGAAGACGACGAAGGGAACACCAGACAATCAATTTGCTGCTCTCCAACTGTAGTGATGGTCCCCAGATCACCCTTTACTACGCTGACGCATCGCTCAAAGCACTCGAGCTGGCTGCGCAGACTTAGGTAGTCGGTCAGTTCAACGCATCCCCTAACTTGAGTGACGCTGCGATGCACCTTGGCGACCTCCAGACCAACGTGGCAGTGAGCTTGCTGCAACTTGCGCCACCAGTTCATGTCCAGCAGGACGAAGTTAGTGCTACTCACTTTTTTGCATAGCTTTGCACAGAGACACTAGAGACCCGGCGTCCAAGCACAGCACGAAGTCATGGAGCAGCTCTATTAGAGCTACTTTGGCTGGAACGCTACTACTGCACAATGTTAGGAGCTGATGCAGTAGAAGCCGAGGCAAACCGGCCGGTCTTCGCTGAGCGATGTCGACTTGATACTCTGCGGCTTCGACGTGTTCCCGACATTCAAATTTCGATGACTATTGCCTAGTGGACCTAACGGTCTGATCGATCTCGATTATACAGAACAACGTCAACATGTTACCAAGTTTTTATTTTATTGGAAAGATTCGATGATGCAGTTATATGTTTTTGCGTTAACCTGCTCCTCTCATGATGGAGATTCAGAATGTTTCCCAGCTGCTGGTGGAGGCTGAGTTGGAGAACCCCAAGAGATTCGCGTCGCCGCTTGAAGCACTGCTGCTCGTCTTCTTGGGCGAGCTTGTAGACTCGAACGGGTCCATATCGTCGTCCTCCTCCCCTTTCGCTGCGTCTTTCTTCTTGGTGTTGAGCTTGATTCGAATCGTCTGACCTTCCTTTAGCGAGTAGTCAACAGGAGGAGCGGCCGTGGTGCTCTCTTGCTGCGTCTTTTCACGCTTCAATTCTCTGTAGAAAGAAAACACATTTCACATCTACGTTAGCCTGGAAGTGTTGTTTCTGATAAGCTCGAGTTGATAATAACGCACTTGTTGAAATCGTCGATTGCAACATTGAAGTCGAATGCATCGCTGCGATTATTAAAAGCGATTCCAATAAATGCGTGACGACCTGGCAAAGCGAGCTTGCAGTGTAAGGAACTTAAGGAGCGTCGATATGTGATGACTAAACGCACCAGATACGCGATCAACAGCACGCAGAACGAAGTACCGACTGCTGTCAACCACTGTAATACTTTATCAGTTATCGTCAAAAAGCAACTAGTCGTAACGTTAGCAGATTTACCTTTCTGAATGGCAGATGGTCCTCCAGCCTTAATCGGACACGCTGCGAACAAGGCACCCGTGTTGGGGTCCTTCAGCTCAATGACCGCATCTTCACCGACAGATGAAACCTGCAGACGACCAGTCCACGCGGGTGTACTAGGCCACGAATCCGCCCTAGACAATCACCGCAGCGTCATTGAGAGCCGAGTCGCAGGCAATACCATGTGTAAAGCTATCTACCTGTGGCCGGCAGCCGATGTCTGCGGTGGGATCTGGAACACGAAGACCCCGTTGATTGTCGCGAGGATGCGCTGCACTCCTATCTCGACGGATGAGAGCACCACCGAATCAATAAGAACAAGCACCGAAACCCACCATTACGGATACAACTGCGGCAACACACATACCAACTTCTGCCATGATGAGGGTGTTTCAAGAGAGCGATGCGTGGAAGGGTCCTGCCTTACAACGATCTCTGAGTGTAAATGATCTTAGGAAACAAGAGTTGAGGTCCGTTACGCGTCCCTTGACGCTAAATGTAGCACCGCAAGTGTACGGTTCCCTTTTCATACATTCCGATGACTGCTTCAGTGCAGCCAAGTGCTGGCATGCTGAATCCCAACGTCATTGCTTGCCAAGTTGAAGCTAAAGGTGACGCTAAGCAAAAGTATCTTTTCTACCAATCTCATCTTTTGCACAAGGTATCCGCCAATCAGCGGAGGGACTTAATATCTCATCTCGGATCATGGCGTTCCTCGTCGCGCTGGTGCTACTAGCGCTGTCTGTGTGCACCAAAGCCTCCACGTTCCCCTCGCACGCCAAACACGGTCGTCTGTGGCAGCTCGTGCAAGCAGAAAGTCAACTGTTGTTTAAAACAGAGGCACAACAACTTTGGTTCAACCAAACGGTAGACCACTTCGCTTCGGACAGCAACGCCACGTTCCAACAGCGTTATTACGAGGTCAATAAGTTCTGGAGCAAACCTGATGGCCCTGTAATTCTCTATATCGGAGGAGAAGGCGCAATGGAGAAAGCCCCGGCCGGGTTTGTGCACGTCATCGCTCAGAAGTTCGACGCCAAGGTAAGTTCCAAGAGAGGGAGGCTGGCCGCTCTCAATTTAAAGCGCTTAAACTATTTCTTGCTATTCTGCCATTAGATTCTCGCTCTAGAACACCGATTCTACGGCAGAAGTATCCCGAATGGAGATCTCTCGACCGAGAATTATCGCTATTTGACGGTGCAGCAGGCTCTGGCAGATCTCAAGCACTTCAAGGAGAGTTATCAAAGCCAGCTTGGAGCAAAGGACGCCAATCAGTGGATTGCAATCGGAGGGTCGTACCCTGGAGCTCTATCGGCGTGGTTCCGCATCGCTTACCCAGACGCGACAGTCGCGTCTTTGTCATCGTCGGGAGTGGTGCAACCAGTATACAAGTTCCACCAGTTCGATGAACAAGTGGCACTGGCAGCAGGTCCGTCGTGTGCAGACGTCCTGCGACTCACCACTGAAGTCTTTGAGAAAGAGGTAGCCAGTGCTAATGCCACCGCTGTGAAGAAACTATTCGGTGCCCAGGATCTGGCAGACGCAGACTTCTTCTACATGATCGCAGATGCTGCTGCGATGGCTGTCCAGTATGGTCACAAAGACATCGTGTGCAACAGTATGGTCGGCGCTTTCGAGCGCAACAACTCGCTCGTCGACTCCTTCGCCAGCTTCACGATAGATATGTATGGATCTTCCTTTGGCAGTGAATGTTTCTACGATACAAAGTGTCTAGCTGATGACCGTTCTCGATGGGGGGACGGACGCTCGTGGCGTTGGCAGAAATGCTCCCAACTCGCATACTTCCAAGTTGCTCCTAAAGAGAAAAGCCTGCGCTCAGCAATGTTGGATCTCGATTACCACTTAAAACAATGCCAAACAGTATTCGGTGACGTCGTGCACCCATCCGAGGGTGTAGACGAGATCACAAAGCTGTATGGAGGAGACCACCCGAATGGCCACAAGATTTTCTTCTCGAACGGTGGAGATGATCCGTGGCAACGCGCGTCGGTGCTTGATAAACTATCGGATGATCAGATCGCCAATCTGGCCAAGTGCCAGTTATGTGGCCACTGTGGTGACTTGAGCGCCAACCCAAATGTACCGGAACCACTGAAGAAACAACGCGAGCAAATCCTCGAGTATCTGACCAAGTGGCTTGGTGAGTCCGAAGTTGAAGTCGTCGAGAACACGGTACAGGAATCCGTCGCTCTTCCTCAAGAGGAGGACTATAACGAGCAGGAGATGGCAGGACTGCAACTTGCGGGACTGCATCGATCATCCCCATTGGTCCTTATCCCTATTGTCGTCGCGTTCCTTGCACTGGTGGGAGTCTTGCATGCTGACGTTGTCCGTGACGCCCCAGGAGGGATGGAGATGCTTCGATACAGACTCGCACACACGCACGAATTCTAAACATTGAGGCAGATAGAATACGAGACCTGGGAGGTAGTACGAGGACCAGATGATCGCAGCTTTTGTGTTTCTTGATCTTGTTTTTCATTTTGTTAAGAACGAACATCCAGAGTTCAATCCAAACCTGTTAGTCTATCATACGCGTCCATATTGAGGTGTCTCTTTCACTAATGCTGTTGATCTGGCAATGATTGAGACATAATCAAGCTTTCTGCGTTTGCACCTTCGTCTTCTTAGCTGGTGCGGGGAGTGTGGACTGGCCCATCGTTTCTTTTGTCGAGATGTAGGCGTACGTTGCGCCACCGATTGATACAACAACGATACCGATGGCCTTTTGTACTGTAATGACGTCGTGGTTGATGAGGATGGACATGACGATTACGACGACCTGCTTCATGTTGCCACAAACGCACAATGTTACGGGAGACGTAACTTTGTTGGCCATGAAACTCGTAACATTCAGCATGAAGCTGATAATACCGGTGAGAATGAACCAGAAACTGGCTGAAGGCACCACTTCCCAGTTGTCCATGATCGTGTCCACTTCACCAGTCAAAAACATGGTGATAAGACACCAGCACGCGGACAGAGGAGCCTGATGCATGATCAAGTCCACGGGGTGAAGCTTCAGGTCTCCGCTCAGGAACTTATTGGAGAGAACTGCCTTCAAACCAGCGAATATAATGGCCACGACTGTGATGATGAAGCCCAATACAGTACATGAATTGTCTCCAGTGCATGCCAAGTACACGCCGAAAGCAACAGGAACGAGCGAAAGTTTGCGTTTGAGCGAGTATGTTTTGCCCAGGATCAGCATACTGAGCACGACGACGACTGCTGGAACCAGCGCACGCATGACCTGGTTGAAGGAGATTGACACGAGTCCCAGACTCCAGTTGCCTGTGATGATATTGCTCACGAAGATGAGCGAGAAGTAGACCATGAGCTGCTTCTGTCCAGGCTTGAGCTGCTTTCGTTCGATGCCCTTGAACACGTGGATATACAGGAAGGCGCCCAGTGTGTTGCATGTCATGTGAACGAATGTCAGTGTCACGGGTAGACGCAGAGCACCCAGAGCTTTCTTGTTCCAGAAGGTCACGCCGATATTCTGCGTGAACCACATACTGAGCCAGAAGACCACGACGGACGGGGCCACGTACGACGTTTTGGCCGCTGCAGTCGCTGCCTTCTCTTTCTTCTTGAGCTCCTGGTCATCAGCCGTCTCCAAATCGAGTTGTGTCTGTTTAGTTTTGCTCTTCTTATTGTTATCGTTTTCGTCTTCCAGAAGCTGCGTCGTCTCGGTTGTGGTGTCGTCGTTGTCGCCTTCAGGACACACTTCCACGGACACGTGGCCGCCCTTACTGGACTGGATGAGACCGGCACCACCCGATTGGGTACGCGATCGCGCGCTGAGCGTCTCCAGAGCCATGAAGTCAGCTGCTACTTGCGTTCTACGAGGGGAATCTGGCTGTGAGGCAATGTGAGTACCGTGGTATGTTGGCGATTTTCGAGACGTCGTAAAAAAGGGATAGTGCAGGAGTAGGGTTTCAAACAACAAAACGTTGATTTGGCTATGTGATTTGAGAATATTCTACCTCTTTGAGTGTTCTTATAGTATTAATTTGTAAGTATTGACTAAATCGGGGTGTCAACATCAGCGACAGTTGTTTGCTTCAGATTTGGATCAGTGACGGCCGTTGAGTAACGACGACAATAAAGCATCGTCAATGCGATGCTGCGCCATCGAAACCGAGGAGGCGGGCGCTGCCGCTGCGAGGTTAAATTTTCAGCGTTGCTTTCCGAGCAGATTCTACTGGCATGGCTGAGTGCACATCGATGTAGTGGATCTTACAGGGGCGTACTCTCTCGGAGGCTGTCCAGAAAATGAGTAACCAGGTTCAGTGGCTTCAGTGCATCAGCTATGATTAGTTTCCGTCTTCATAAGTATGACGTGGATGCTTGTTGTCGCCCGCAGCCGCTTGATCGCGAGCTCCAACATGCGCTTGAGCCCAGCACCTGGCATTTGGTCATTTCTGAAATTAAACTATAAAATAATCAATGCTAGATCACATAGCGTAGCGTACCCGCGGTCGTGATCCCCGATGCTGTCTGGAAGCCTGAAAATAAGTCACAGAGCGGTCCCAACGCTACGAGCTGGAGCCCCGCTTCATTCTGTGCCTTGTCAGATCGGTCAGTGAAGCTGAGAACAGGCAACAACAACAAAATACACACCTCCCAGCTTTGCTGCACACTGTCCAGCTCACACAGCAGCTCGTACACATCGCGGCATTGGCGTAAACGCACGCAGTGGAGACATTCCGCAGCTAACTCCGGTGTCATCGCTGCATCGAGTCTCGACACCGCCGCTGCCAAATGTTTGGTAACGCTCTTCGGGGCGCGGACCAGGAGCAGCACTTGTTTTCCTACCCTGGCAAACTGCAGAGCCGTGTCCACACATTGCTGTCATAGACGAACAGAATTGCGCTCGGTCAGCAATACATCACGATTGAAAAGCTACAGCCTTGCTGACCTCAACGCTGCAGCTTTTGCGATCTTTCAGTGTAGTATCTAACGCAGAACTATCGAGATACATTGCGCTTCTCGTTAGTAGTATATTCCATTTGCAGCAGCTCTAGACCTGCTGCGGCATCGCGTCGAGTGACAACCTCGGAGCACTTTGTCGAGTTTCGAATGCTGACATGGAAACTAGCGGGGCGCAGCATAGCGCAGCTGCCTGTTGTCGCTGTGCACGCATCTGCAGATCGTAGATACTCGATGCAAAGAGCTGCTCAGCCGTCGTGTTCACTGGAGCATCGCTCAACTCCTCTGCACGGAGCAATTTCTTTAGCAGCATGTCAAGTGTCGGAATGATGGTTTAAGTCACTAAATCGGGTTTAGTTGCATAGTGACCTCGAAGCCGCACCCGTCACTTCCTCGGACTCGGCGATGTCTTCGACGCCTCCGCTGAGCTCACAGGGGCGTTTAGACGCGTCTGCCATCTCTGGAGCCTCGCCTGATGGTGTGGACACACTATTCTCCGTGTCTCGAAGCGCCAGAGCCGCCTCACCCGCCTCCTCCTCCTCAAGCCCTGAGCAGTTCCGCCCTCCCATGTCTTTTCTGCGCCGCCTAACGTCAGCTCCGGCTGCCAGTCGCGACGACCGAGCCAAACGCAAGGAAATGGAGCGTAAAGAGCTACTAGAGATGATCCTCGAGTCCATCGCCAGCGTACCAAAGGCTGTAGAGCGGATCCACACGAACGAAAAGCTCCGACAGGCGTTACACCAGGAAATGGGCGAGGAGAACTCGCTTTTGCATCGATTCTTCGACGCTAGACAGCAACAGAACAATGTGTCGCTAGGTGGCACTCTCTTGGGGGACAATTCGAGATGCTGGGACCTCAGTCGACGTCCTGTAAGTGAAGTTGAAGACGACGTAGACAGCAGTCCGCTGTCTGCACACCCGGCGACACCCCTTGGGGTCTACGACAACTATGAACAAAGTCAAGAGGGCGATAAGGACGATGAAAGTGACGAAAGTGACGAAAGTAGCAGTGACTATGGATCAGAATACGAGAACGACCTTGCTGAAGCTGTGAACCAGCTTTGCATGACGGACGAGACGTTGACAGCAATGGACGACATGGTATCCGACCCAATTGGCATTGTTCAGACGAATTTCACTAGTGAAGGCTCTGCACAGGTCTCGGGCTCACCGCAGTCGTCCTTCGGATTGGGAGCTTCACCTGGCAACACGTCGATGGACGGTGAACCCGTGTCTGCTCTTTGGCCACGTCAGCCAAACCAGTTCGCATTCACTCAAGAGGAAGACAACAACGTGCGAGCGGAAGACGAAGTGTACAGCGAAATGGTGAGCTCTGTCTGTGAGGACGAAACGTTCCTGGACGATGTGGATGAAGAAGGTGAAGGGCATAATCTGGACGACGAGACCGAGGAAAAACTATTTAGGATGGACGACGATGACGATGGAAACGTCGACGGTGACATTCAAGAGGCAGAAATGAGTAACGGGGCGACTCACTTCAATGCTGATGATACAGTGCCGGACCCGTTTGTGGTGGGCTCTCCGGTTCAGGGCCAGGTGACTACTTTCCAACACGATCTTGATGGCAAGTCGAAGCAGAAGGCTGACACAGTCCACACGGTGGATATTAAAGAAGACGAAAATGACGTGTGCGGTGCAGAGAGCGAAGGATCCGATGACGACGATGAGTCTAAAGAATATGAAGTGTTTCAGCTGCGTATTATACGCGAAAAAAATCGAACCGGATTCGAGCCAAACCAGGACTGGCGACCTCGTGGCGGAGCTTTGATTGGCGGTAGATACAAGGTTTGTAGTAGAAGTCCTAGCAGTTTGAATGGTGTATGGTACTTATTGTGTGTGGGTCTTTTTTGCAGGTGGAGATGGCTATTGGAGAAGCAGTGTTTAGTCGGACCTACAAGTGTGTGGATACAACTACTGAACACTCTGTATGCCTCAAGATCATCAAGAACAACAAGGAGTACTTCGACCAGGGTGTTGACGAGGTTCGTGTACTGGAATATATTGATCGCAACTGCAAGGTGGACGAAAGGCATCTCGTGCGCCTTCTGGATGCGTTTTACTTCCGCGAACACCTGATCATCGTGACTGAGGTGCGTAGGTCGACATTGGATTGACTTTTTTCAAAATTATTCCTCACTCACTTATTGTGCTTACAGCTACTTCGAGATAATCTGTACGAGTTCTCTCGTTTGCTGCTACAACGTGGTGTGATCAACTACTTCAGCATCCCTCGCCTGAAAAAGATTACCATTGAAGTGCTCGAGGCGTTGGATACTTTACACTCACTAGGACTCGTTCACTGCGACCTCAAACCAGAGAATATCCTGATCCAAAACTTTAGTGCATGCACCATTAAGGTGATCGACTTTGGGTCGGCGTGCTTCACTACAGACGAGCTCACGTCTTACGTACAGTCGCGTTCTTATCGGGCGCCTGAGGTAAGTTTGGCGTAAGCTCCAGGTGCATAGTATGGTACCATTTCTGAACTTTTTGCTGCATTCAGGTAATTCTCGGTCTCTTGTACGACACTAAGATCGATCTATGGTCCCTCGGGTGCGTCCTTGCCGAGATGTTCACAGGCGAGGTTCTCTTCCGTAATGACTCGGAACAGACGCTACTGGCACGAATCTTGGCAACTATCGGTACGTCCTTAGCTGTAGCACCATTTCAGCTACACATTCTAACCTTGTATGTTTCCAGGCCCCATTCCTGCGTCTCTGCTCGCCGGCCGCGAGATTCTACAGCGCCATCTCATCGACACGGGATTGTTCACTGTGGATCACTCGGGCAACGGCGTGTTGGCTGCGAGTCAGCACGTGCCTTCGCTAGAGCAAGCCGTGCCGACAAAGGATAACGAGTTTCTGGACTTCCTTCGCGCTCTGCTGCAGATCGATCCAGCGCATCGACTGTCGGCACGCGAGGCATTGACGCATCCCTGGCTTCAACATGGTGTCTTCGCTGAGAACCGCATGTGATTGGCTGATGTCTGCCACATGAGCTACCGATTATCCGGTGTTTATCCGGACGTTTCAAAAAGGCGTCACACAGATCGATAAACCGCGGGACGGGATGGCTTCTTTCGGTGACAACGGCGTCTCGGCGGTAGGTGGCGCTCTGTATGTTGCGTCGTGTGTTTGGATAGTGCCGACCTGTGTGTCGAGCCTTAGAATTAATAGATAAAAGCGGCTTGGGACGAGTCTCTGGGCCTCCCGCTGCTCTGTTTTATTAGCCACTGAATGTGCTGGTCGCTTTGTGCTTGTGGTGTCTGTGCTGTGGGCTTTATCAGAGCCAAGAGATGCAGAACCAGGTGGAGACATTGAGATTGCAGTCGCCGCAGAAGAAGGCGGACGAAGAGGTCAGAGAGATCACTGTCTCGTCGTCGGAAGGTCGAGAAGAAGACAACCAGGAGCACATTAGAGGCGTCACAAGCGACGGAGTGGGCTTCAACACGAGTGATAAGTGGGCCAAGTTCTACCCGAATCAAGAGGTGGCGGTGGTTACTAGCATCGGACAGCCACCGGTTCCACCTGAAGGTGAGGAGCGAGTTGTCTTTGAGGAAGTAAATACTGGGGAAGGATTTAGATTAATGGATGTGAATTTGTAGGGTATGTTCCACTACGTCATGGTCACAGCCGTGATGCGCAGATCCCTGAAGCTGCTTTAATCTTTGAAGAAGGCGTACCAAACGGGTTAGTTGATGGCGATTTCCAGTTGTTTACGTTAGGCTGGTTCCTGGCTGACATACGTTTGTTTGCTTGCAGCTTCTCGGTGGACACGCTGTTGTGGAACGAAAAGCTGCTGGAGCAACGTATCATGCAATTGACTGCGTGGACTAGACGGTCTCCGATGCCACGCCGCCAGAAGCTCGACCGCATCAACTGCATGGTCAACCAATGTAACACTACAAATACCAAGACTTTCTGAGGATCCTAATTCGATTAAGTTTTGCATGGTACTGATCATTTTTGCGAGTGTTCGATGCTTTTTAGACAAGTTCACTCGTGTAGCTCAGGTAAAAGATGCTGTAACATCCATGTGTCCCTGTGTATCTATAAAATTCTTACAATAGCCAGGCGACCGACTACATGTAGTTCAGAAAGATATTTCTGTCAAGTCGTCGGTTGAACTGGCCGAGTAAAGCGTGCAGTGCTTCACTTTCAGGTGGAGTCGTCATGAGTGCCTTGCTACTGCGTTGGCTGAATGACGATCTCAAATTACAACGCAAAGTGGAGGTGCTGGAGCGGGATGTCAGTAATGGCTACATCATCGCCGAGGTGCTGCATCTCCAAGGTCTGGAGCCCAAGTTGGAGCAGTATGATAACTCCTCGACCACAGCAGCCAAGATCCACAACATGGAACTTTTAGGAGAAAGATTCGAGGCTCTGGGCATTCCGTTCTCCGTGAACACGCGTCGTGCCATCATGATGGAGAACCGCTCTGCGGTGCTTCAGTTTCTGCTGCAACTCAAGGATTTCCTTGGTCGACGATCCAACAGAAGACCCGAGAGTGCACGAGCCAAAGTCATCCCATCCGACCAAGCGACAAAAACCGCAGCAGCTATTAAGTCGAATCTTCCTCCACATGATGTGGAAGAGCGCTTCTTAATGGATACAATGAAGAAATATCAACCGAAAGACATTCGCTTCTATAAGGACATCGACATGGCCGTACACCTGCGCAAGTTCCAACAAGCTCAATGGCAAGCAGAGAACGAGCACGACAGAGTAAGTGGACGCGTTGGGGGTCAATTTTCTGTAACGTAGCTCTCGATTAATCTTTTTTTTTGGTTTTCATAGCTTAACCAACAGATCAAAGTTGACAAGAACGCCAATGCAGCCACAGGATACGCCGCTACTCGAGCTCACTTGCAAGAAAAGGCGCAGTTTTTGCGTGAATGGGATCGTGAACATCTCGAGAAATGGAAGCACACACAAGTGAGTTGCAACTTTGGAGGCCACGAGTGTAGTGTTGTACTGATTTATTGTTTTAGCGACTCTTCTTGTCTACAGAGCGTGATGATTTGCGCCTTGAATTGACCTTGGAGGCTCGAAGACAAATCTATGCCGAGGAAAAACTGGCTGAGACTCAACAAGATGGCGTTGATGGTGTTGTGGATTTCAAGAAGAACATGAATAGACTGGGACTTGCATCCAGCGGCACAGATCTATCGCTCCGCGCGATTCCAGCAAATGATGAGGGTGCACGTGCTCACTTTCACGGGCTCGAGAAACGAGTCGAAGATCTCGATTTTCGGCCTTCCAACAACGTCAAAATGATGAAAGAGCTACGTAAGCGGCGAAAAGCGCAGTTAGCCGCGGAGAAAGACCGACGCATGAGGCGACAGAAGGCATTGGCAGATCAGAAAAAGGTAGGCGTTTCTACGTGAAGTAGTTCTGTTGGGGGTGTTTTAGGTTCTGATCACTACCGCTGTAGTCAATTGAAGCTCACGAAAGGGGACAACTAAATGATGATCAAGACGATTTCCAAGACCCTGAGGCCTCGAATTCGACTGCGCTACCAGAAAAAAACGGGGAAGTGGAGTCAATTGTGAATCCACGCGAGAAATATCTTGATGAGAAACGTGAAGAGCTGGAGGAAAATTACGCTCGGCTACGGGAGTCTGGAAGTATGAGAAGAGAAGAAGACATGAAAGTGCTGGACGGACTTCGCACCACGAAACGTGAAAAGGAATACCTACGCGCATGCGACGTGTGCTCTGATGCAGTTGATGACTTGATCTCATTAGCATTCGCTATTGTCTCGGTCAGGTGAGTATGGATTGTTGCCCTGTTTCAGCTTTAAAACTTGACAAATAATCGTGTTCTGGTGCTGGTTGCAGCGACAGAGATATGGTGGATATAGAACCACTGAAAAGGGAAACATTTTTTCCAGGCAAATCGTCACGACCCACTTGTTCTGATCAAGGCGGCGAAGAAATGCGTTATGAGCTTGATGTGTCCATCCAGAACTTCTTGTGTTGCTCAGAAGTGTGGGCCACGCTTCCGCTCCAGTCCAGATTCTCCACATACGACGTAAAATCTGACATCCAAGCTTTGGGTGAAGGCTGGGCCAATCCGACTGTAGCTTTGGACACGTCTTGGTGTCGCCCTCTCTCTTTCATTTTGCTGAGCGTCTTTACAGAGGATGAAAGCGGAAGTGAACTCGCGCAACGGGTTGCAACGGAGCACCATCTGACTTTCCTGCAGCTCGATGCTCTTGCGGACGAGTGTGTGAAAACGAGTTACGAACCTCAAAAGCTCGGAGATCAAGTAGCATCGCTCTGTGACCGCGAGGTAAGATGCTGCGTGCGAACGTGAGTACAATATTTGTTGCTGTAACAAGCCACTTTTGCGGATGGCAGAGAGAACTTGGCGTATTCGGTCCAAAGATCACAGCTCTTAGGCTGAAGAATGCGCCACTACCCGACAGTCTTGCTGTAGAAATCATTGCGAAAGCTGTATCACTGTGTCGAAGAGAAGCTTCGGAATCTCCACTAGATGATACACTAAGCAGTGCACTAAGTGGATGCATGCTACACAATTATCCAAGGTGAGGAGAATCCATGGCTGAACAGTTCTGGAAGCTCTGATATCGATTGCTTAACGCTCTATGTATCGCAGAACAGTGGACGAAGCCAAACTTTTGGAGAAGAGTATCCTAGCAGACCTTTTAAGCGAAGAAAGTGATTCAAATAATGCCACTAGCAGCACGGCTCTTCCAGAGGAGGAAAGTGTTCCTGCGATTGTTTCCGTGTGGGATTGTGTGCTGTCAATATCCCCCGACGAATCTTCAGTGACCGATCAAGCAGATGCAGACAAAACTCTGCTAGGTTCAGACTCTTCAACAGCTTTAGTCGACAAACCAACGTCGTCTGGCTCTAAGATTATATCGGCCGAAAGCCAACGAAAGCTTGCGCTTGAAGAGGAACAGCGTGTTCGTAGCGAAGAGCAGAGAGCGAATCTGGAGAATTTTTGGGGTCAAACTACGCGGCACATTCGAATTAAGCGACTTGGATTGCATCGCGATGTCTCGGCAGAGCTCACTCACTTGTGTATCGACGTGTATACCCAAACATCTTACAAAACAATCCCAATGGTGATCGAGTGTGGAGTCGAGGGGATACCAGAACAGGTGAGAGAGGAACGCGACAGGAGACACAGGAAAATGAACCTTGTAGACCGAGTCATGTGGCTGAGAGCCTCGAAAGAGATAGAGTTCGAAGACAACGTCTTTCAAGATCTTCTTGAAAGGCTGCAAAAGGCAAGTACTGAAATTAAAGGAGTATTCTTGAGTAAGTGCTGAGTGCCTTGTGCTGTTTCTTGCGCAGCTAGAGAAAAGTTTGCACCATAAAATTCAAGAGCCGATGGCAACAATTCAGTCGGTTATCCAAGCGATCTCAACACTGGCTGCCACTGCCCACGAAGAGTTAGAAAAGGATTTATTCAGTGGTGCTGAACCATTTCAAGATCTTCTGGACCAAGCAGCGACAAAGCTGAAGGCTACCAATGGTGCATCAAAGTTAGAGCGTCGTGAGGTGAGGATACTGCTTTACAGAGCGTTTTATCTGGATCTTTCTAACCTTGTTTCATTGTTCTGGATCAGCGCATTTTGACGGAGCTCGAGGTATCTCTCGGTGACATGGCGGACTCGCACCGCGTAGCTGGCAACGACTTCGTAGATGCCTTTACGCAAGATCCGTTTCCCGAAGTGATGGGGGCTGTGGACATCGTGTACAAGTGCTTGCCGTCGATCTGCTTCTTCCTCAAAGACTTCGCCTTGCAGAAACTGGAGCTACTACGCACACGTCTGTACGATCGAATCCCATTTCTCAGTGACAGCTCACAAGACTCGGTGTCTCTATCCAAGATTCTTCCACGTGAGGCAATGGATGCCGCCACTGACCTGGGTGGCGACAAAGCTGGAGGTGGAGAATCCGCACAAGCTGCTGGAGATGAAGTGCTGAGTATCCTCAGTCAGGTGGCAGCCGAGTATTCCTTCCACTTAACTGATGAACATCCTGCTTGCCAGTACGCACTAAGCGAGACGAGTGTTACCTCAGAGGAGATCACGCGTCTACTACAGCATGTAACATTGCTCTGTCGATTCGGTGATCGATTAAGACAATCGACTGGGCAACTCTACGCGGGAGATGTCCAGTATCTTATGCAAACCGTTCAAGAAGATATCCACATGAAAGACAAAGCCATCGCAGAGGTAATGGCGGATATTAGAGCGCACGGACATGCCACTTGGTCCATTCGAGGCCTGGAGATTAGCCCACAATCTGGTATTGCAACGCATCTAACTCGATCTCAAAAGCAAAACTTCCTGACGATACCACAGCTCAGTGCTCTAGCACACGCCTGTGAGAAGTGGGAGCTGTCGAACCCCATCACAGCGAAGGCTTTTGGAGGGGAGACTATTGCAAGTGACGTGTTTGTTGCGTTAGTACTTGAAGTTGCTGCGAAAGAGGATTTTCCTGTACGCTGGAGAGATGCTAGTGCTGTTGCCGCTGTCACACTCCAGCAGTGCTCAACTCGAGGAGCTGTGTCGTGGAGGAAGTTCATTTGGTCGCTAATGTGCGTCCAGTTTAAAGGGACCCCATCTCTTGAAGATATATTATGTTACCAGCGACGAGCAATGATACTTCCGGCGATCAAGCGTCAGCGGCAAGACGCTATCCTGGAAGAGAGTTGCAATTTTTTCCTCTCTCGCACCGACTTCTGGAATCTCTCGTTGTGGTTTGAAGAGCGCTGCAACATCAAAGCCAAACACGAAGCTGAGCAATGCAAAGAGCTCGTGTTCCAACTTTTCTCAAGAACAACAGATCAAGTAGATCTTATACCGATGTTGTTGTGCTGGTGTGTTCATCCTTCCTGCTCCTTCAGTGTCCGTCACGATCTCGAGGAGTTTGCTCCTCGATACTCACGAGGATTGTATCGCGTCTTTCGACTGCTGTGTCAATACTCGGCGGTTTACGACTCTACAGCTCAGTCTGTCTCGTCATTATGTGGCAGTGGAGGCTTAGACCACACACCGTCACTCGAGTCCTTCGACTCGTTCTACCACGGTTGTTCGTCCGACTTGCCTCGCTTCTACCTATTGCAGAATCCGCTTGAAGCTCTCGTGCAGCCCTAGATACGACACAACACCGAGTGCTCCAGTTGAAAGAATAATATTTGAGCAGATACAGCTCTCCTCTTAGCTGCTATCCGTGTCCACTTGTTCTTTATCGTCCTGCCGCTTGCTGCGTCGTCTCCGCTTCTTGCGTAAAACGTCTGCATATAGCGAGTGTGCGAATAGTCCTGACAGCAGTCCCATTACACAGGCGGAACGTAGACTACCGGCATAGCGCAACGCCAGCAGCGCTGCCACAGCTCCACCTGAGAGCTTGACGCCGTCTTCCATACTTGGTGCACGCGCCAGTACCCTAAGCTTACTAGACACGGACGCTGCGAGCGTTGTAAATGTTGAGGGGAGCGCCAACTCGCGCCCGCTGGGCGTCGCAGCCGCAGCCTTTGGCTGCTGCGTGTCTTGCTCCATTTTGAATCGGAGACTTTGGAGAATATGTGAAGCATAATTCGCTCGAGTTGAATTTGAGCTGTTTGATTTGGTCTTTGTGCTTCTGATGCGGTTTTTTGTGTCAATTTGGTCATTCTCCTCATTGACAAGGTAGGATGGAGGTGGCAACTTCGACGAGTGGGGACAAGTGTCCTCACTACGGACGACGCTGCCACGTGCTGGCCGAGTGCTGCAAGAAATGGGTTGGCTGTCGTCTGTGCCACGATTCGCGGTTCGGCGAGGAGCATGTGATAGACCGCTTCGCCATCAAGCAGATGCGCTGCGACTTGTGCCAGACGGAGCAGCCCGTACGGTCACCAAAGCTTGTGTGTCTCGTCCTATAGCCTATATATATTGACTGTTATGTCAATTGCTAGTGTGCACAAGAGTGCGCTAAGTGCCAAGCAAATATGGCCGCGTACTTCTGCTCCGTTTGCAACTTATTCGACGATAAGGGACTGGAGAAACAGGTTTTCCACTGCGCCCAGTGCGGCATCTGCCGGTGCGTTGCGACGTGCCTTAGGAGACGTTTACTGCCACTAATGGTGGACTTTTGTACAGCGTTGGTGGTCGAGAGAACTATTATCACTGCATCAAGTGCTGCGGGTGCTACCCTCACTCACTCGAGGCCAAACACAAGTGTCTGGAAGGCTCTATGCATCGTGAATGCCCCATTTGTCTTGATGTGAGTGGCAATTGCGTAGATTTTCAGAGGAGGATGCTCAGTTTCTATTGATGCAGGTGACGTTCGATTCGCTGGAGAGTGTGAACGTGCTGCCGTGTGGCCACGTCATGCACTCAAGCTGCTTCAAAGCCTACGTCAAGCACCAGTACGACTATAAAGCTGTTGCCGATAAGATATCTGGATCTAATGTAATGTTTGGTAATGCCGTCTGCTACAGTAACATTGTGTGTCCAACATGTCGGACGTTGATGTTCACCGAGGACGAAGTAAACGGCGAGGGTCAGGACAACGACGAGGCAGACTCTGAAGGCGAAGAAGATGGCGAAGAAGACAGCGGAGAGAGTGATGGAGACGATGGAGATGACTCGGACAGCTCTAGCAGTAGTGAGAGCGAGGACGAAGACGGGGTTGTAGTCCACGTTGTAGTAGAAGACGAAGACTCAGACAGTGAAATGGAAATGGACGCAGCACACGACGCAGAACGCAATGTGTGGCCCAGTGCCCACCGACCGTAATGTTAGCTAGGAAATACGGGGAAACGTGCAGCGGCGGCTTCATGTTGTCTCGAGTTTTGTGGTTTAAAAAGACGCAGACGAGCAAGAGCTCCACTCGACTACAAGAACTACAATACATTCTGCTCTTGTTTCGTCCACGACGTCTCTTCCACCTTCCAGCATTTGTTTACATCGTGCCAACAGGCCCTCAAGTTCATAAGTGTCCGCTCTTAATGCTCTGACTGCTTATGCATTGCGATAACGTCCTCGGTAGACACGGGCTGATTGACTGTAGAGCGCCGCGGACTTGCAATCGAGCGAGCAGAAGCCGGCGTAGCGACTAGTGCCGGCCACGAAACTTCGCGTGCACATCCCACATTGTTCCCAATCGGCACTACCTTCGCTCATGGCTTTCCGTCGCCCTTCGAGCTCTTCGCGGCTTACGGCAGTGGCGGCGAATGTGCTGCACAGTTCCGAGCGGTGTGTGGAGCGTTTACTGGCTCCAGCGAGTGCCACAGGCTGCAACTGGTTGACTTCTTCCTGTTTCTTGTCGCGTGAGCTGAGCTTGCGCAGGAGTTTGCGGGTTGAGTCGCGTAGTCCCATTGAAAGCTGAGACTTTGGGGTCAAATTCGGATGTGACACTTGCACTTGAACTGGACTTGCAGTCGGTGGGGAAAAGTCGGGGCAAGTCTTTTTGACGGATAAAAATACTTTTTTACAGATGGAAATCGTCAAATCACAGAGAGGACGTTGTTTTCACAGAGCGCATGGAAAGGTACCCTGTGTTCTCAAATCACATATGGAAATGCTGAGATATCAATGATGAATTAGAATTTGGAGAAAGAGGACATTAACAAACTTCCCATTTTAATTATTTATATACTATTAATATTACACATTTTGTCAACTTCGTAAATTCCAGGCAGAACTATTAATTCCAGCATCTCTAATCCACACGGGCAACTACAAATACAGAAAATGTATTAGATTAAAAGATTTGTACTGGGTCTCACTATGCTAGCTGTAACGCGCGTATATCTGCCGGCAGAATTGTACTTGCTGCCACTATACTACTGACTACAGGCAGATTGCTACTTGGTGTCAGTATACTAGTCAAAGTGTCCGTCAAAGGTGCCGGCAGATTTGTACTGGGTCTCACTATGCTAGCTGATACGCGCGTATATCTGCCGGCAGAATTGTACTTGCTGCCACTATACTACTGACTACAGGCAGATTGCTACTTGGTGTCAGTATACTAGTCAAAGTGTCCGTCAAAGGTGCCGGCAGATTTGTACTGGGTGTCACTATGCTAGCTGTAACGCGCGTATATCTGCCGGCAGAATTGTACTTGCTGCCACTATACTACTGACTACAGGCAGATTGCTACTTGGTGTCAGTATACTAGTCAAAGTGTCCGTCAAAGGTGCCGGCAGATTTGTACTGGGTCTCACTATGCTAGCTGTAACGCGCGTATATCTGCCGGCAGAATTGTACTTGCTGCCACTATACTACTGACTACAGGCAGATTGCTACTTGGTGTCAGTATACTAGTCAAAGTGTCCGTCAAAGGTGCCGGCAGATTTGTACTGGGTCTCACTATGCTAGCTGTAACGCGCGTATATCTGCCGGCAGAATTGTACTTGCTGCCACTATACTACTGACTACAGGCAGATTGCTACTTGGTGTCAGTATACTAGTCAAAGTGTCCGTCAAAGGTGCCGGCAGATTTGTACTGGGTCTCACTATGCTAGCTGATACGCGCGTATATCTGCCGGCAGAATTGTACTTGCTGCCACTATACTACTGACTACAGGCAGATTGCTACTTGGTGTCAGTATACTAGTCAAAGTGTCCGTCAAAGGTGCCGGCAGATTTGTACTGGGTCTCACTATTCTAGCTACAGTGCGCGTATATCTGCCGGCAGAATTGTACTTGCTGCCACTATACTACTGACTACAGGCAGATTGCTACTTGGTGTCAGTATACTAGTCAAAGTGTCCGTCAAAGGTGCCGGCAGATTTGTACTGGGTCTCACTATGCTAGCTGTAACGCGCGTATATCTGCCGGCAGAATTGTACTTGCTGCCACTATACTACTGACTACAGGCAGATTGCTACTTGGTGTCAGTATACTAGTCAAAGTGTCCGTCAAAGGTGCCGGCAGATTTGTACTGGGTCTCACTATGCTAGCTGATACGCGCGTATATCTGCCGGCAGAATTGTACTTGCTGCCACTATACTACTGACTACAGGCAGATTGCTACTTGGTGTCAGTATACTAGTCAAAGTGTCCGTCAAAGGTGCCGGCAGATTTGTACTGGGTCTCACTATTCTAGCTACAGTGCGCGTATATCTGCCGGCAGAATTGTACAACCTATAAGTACACTAATAGATGTTCCATGTACTCATGCTATCTTGAATGCACTATCAATAGCAATCTATGAGGATGAATGATCTTCCTTTAGATTTTACCACATTATCGAATTTACCTCAGAGATCTCAATACAAAGACCGGAATTATGTTTGTTCATGAAGCAGTTTGGAAGTTCGCAGAGACGGATGGCAATCGTTACGCTAAACTGCAAGCCTCATCGCGGAAACTGTTAACAGGCGCACCTCTTAAAATCGCCGATTCGAAATGGCTAGTAGGACGAGGGGGTACCCGCTTACGTGAGGCCTGGCTATCACTCCCTGTCGAGACTCGAAGAGATATGATGGCTGCTACTGATGATCCTGATTTTCCTCCATGTGACTCCGGCATTGTGGATGAAAGACACATAAATTCATCACGAAAAACACAAATAACGACCACGACACATGAATCCCGAAAACGAGCTTCACAGTCACCAAAGATCAATTCAGATGGAACTTCATCGTATATGCATAAGAAATATCGATTTCTAAAAGCTCGGGCTCGTTATTTTGAAGTGGCATCCAAGGAAGAGATCGTCCGCCTCAGTATTGCGTACGACTCTGGTAGTTTGAAGGGTGTGTTAGACGCTGCAATAAAAAGCGCTGAATATGCGGTGATGCTTTCCAAGTACAAGGACAGGGCAACGACCGCGGATGAGGCCTACGTCGCCGTTGCTGAAAGCTTAAGTGATGTTTTTTCGTCTATAAGCGAAATAACCTGTTTTGATCCCGAGCCTAATACGGATGGACCTTCCGATAATTTTGCAGTGTCGCGGATTAGCGCGGCATACGTGAAATATCAGGAGGCCGCTCAAGACGCACAAGATGAAATGACAAAAACTTCCACAACAGAGGACCTCGATAAACCTATTTTAACAGGTACCGTTCGATTTTTTGGGAAAGCGCATGGAATGGAGATTTCATAGCTCACTTCTTTTAAAAGCTTGGCAACATCTTAAATTTCAAAAGATTCAAAGACGTATGGTGTTTTACTGTTTTTTTTAAGAAAGACTTAAAGCGTGACCAACGTCTTTTGAGCGTCCTCGTTTTTTGTGGGGTCTCTTATCCGGAAAGGTTTCTCTACGGGCGGATCTTTCTTCGAGCGAAATACCTAGTGTGTCTTTAACAGCCATGAGATGAACACATGAGCCCAGTTTGAACATAGTTCTACAATCGCAAAGTCCGTTCTCAGCTGTCACAATCCATCCCAAAGTACACTGTTCTTCAGCTTCAAGCTCCTGGTCAGTTGTGGTTTCAATCTCTTCTTCAGTTGTTTTCTTTTTTCGAGTATCGGTAGGAGCTCCTTTTAGTTGTTGAACACGAAATTCTCCCATACGGTGCCCCGATTCCAGAAGAAAAGCAATTTTCATGCGAGCTGAACTAGTAATGGTTAAAAGGCGCTCTCTCTTTAATTTTCTGAAGTCTCTAATAATGGGGGGTGCTGCCCGTGTCGATGTCGCAAAAGTAGCTGTCAAAATTGATCTTGCCTGGCTCACTTTAAGTAACTCCATGAAAAGAGGGTTTAAATGAAGCAATCTGCGCATAGAATGAGTGTTTTTCAATTGGCGATTGAAGTTTTCACACGGGTTGTTAGTTTTTGCCATTCCAGTCGGAGTTTCCACACACTGCCATTTACTGTAGCGCCCCTCCAGCCACTGAGCCGAAAAATACTCGGAGAATGACTGCAAGTCGGTGTTAACCTTCCATGATTCCAGAGCATCGTCGATTCGACTCTGTTTATCCACCAAGGTTCGCGCGTAGTGAATTTTGTATACAGGTCTGTATACAATTCTCTTGTTTGCCTCCGAGAACCCCACGGTATGTTTTCTAACATTTGACATCACGTGAAAGAAACACATCAAGTACGTTGGCTGCTTATCTGAAGCGAGAATAGCACCAGCCACACTTTCAAATGCATTTCGTTGAGCATTATCTGCATCCATCATCACGAATCCAAACGATACACTCTGTGATGAAATGTCGTAATACAAATCCAGCAATACCCGAATTGCTCGAGTCCATTGGGGACTCTTTAGATCGGAGACTAAAAAGAAAGCCACAGGGTGAAATTGTCTCCACATATCTGATAGACACATAACTATAACCGGAAAACCTCTAGTATTAAGTTTGAAAGTGGCATCCAAGTGAAAAATAAATTCAGATGCTCGACCGAGTCTCTTGACCAGTGATTTGGTCGAAAACCCAATAACTAGAGGGCTATCTTCAGTTCCTTTACCAATTAGAGCTTCTCCAATGCTATCAAGTGAAAATCCAAATGTAAATGGTGTGGTTTCGCTGCAGCCATCTCGAAAACGATGTTTAACAGCGTTTGCAACCATCACATCGACGAAATCATTGTCCACTTTACTTTTGTTTCTGTACGTGCGTACAAAACACTGTACTTTTGGTAAAAGTGTTTTTGGATTGGTCTGCGGCAGCCCCAAATCAACAGCCATTTTGTGCATTATTGCGGCCGGCTTCAATCCGACCTCGGCCTGGCTTCTTATGTATCTCTTCATTGCGCAATTCAGATCCCCGGGCTTACGATATGCAGGTGAGACTGACAAGTGGTGTGAATTTTGAAAAACACTGATTTTATCGGTGATATGACACTGCAGAGCTTTCAAGACCCACTTGCACGACCCTAACAGCTTGCAAGTTTCGTCGGAGCAAATGAAAAGCCGATAGCGCATAAAGTGAATGTCGAGATTGTATTCACAAACACTGCATATCTCCAGCTGACTCTTGTTCTTACACCATGTCTTCTGCGCGTCGAGATAATCTTCTAGCTGCACTTCGTTTTCATAGGAGCTTACAAAGTTCCACTCGTACTTCATTTGTTTCTTTAGCTAATGGAGAATACAAGGACTTTGTAAATAATCGTTTCGTAACGACACACAAAACATCTTTATTTATAAATAGTCGTTATACGCATTTATTAATTACTTCGTAATACCCAAGGATCTAAATCGGCCTCATATTTGAATACTGATGTATCTAGGTAGTATAGCGTTTTCTTGCTCTCAGTAGGTTCCGATTCGATTGTATTGCAAACTTGGAACACTTCGGAGCATGTATCTCAGATTGGTTAGTGATAACACGCGGTTGCAAATCGGATATGGCGGCGGAAGACAACGAACATTCTGCAAAACTACACCGTCTGGTCTTCGCATGCGACGTCCTAGAGGTCGAAAGTCTTCTACTGGTTGGCGAAGACTTAGCGGTGCCCTTGCTGACAGTCCCGCACCTTCGGCAAGGCGCAGAAGGCAACCGCAGGTGAGAGCAGCACAAACCACGATCTCGATTATCGGTATGTATAACACTGCGGTGAATGTTGGATTGTGACTTCCTTTTTATTACTGTTTAGGTTTGTTTTTTTTTTAATGAAGTTAGGTAACATATTCCCTTGAGGCAGATGGGATCCTCGGTCTGTGAAAAGGAGGCATGTCCTGTGAAGGTTACATACGATCTGTGAAATTGACGCACCCTCTGTGAAATGACCATTTTTATCTGTGATTATCACGCCCTCTCTTTTTGACGGGCTTCTTGATGGCCTGAACTTCAGGCTGAAGAGAAGGAAAGGTGCGGTTGAGGCTTTCCAGCTGGGCGATGGCTCGCGCAGTCTGTTGGGATCAGTCAAGGTTTGATCGGTGGCGTCGATTGGGCCTACCGGTAGAGCTTTCGATATTGGAAGGAACTCAAGTTCATCCATGATATCTAGACTGCTGAGCAACAGCCTTGGAATTGTAGTATCACTCCAGTGCGTTGTGCCACGGGGTCAGCTAAATTACTTCGTAGTACGTTTCTTGGATCAGTGGTCGGCTGGAATCCAGCCTCGATACTTTACAGCAAGCTCCTCGCCACACGCGCACCACTCGTAGGCAACGTGGGCTGGTTTCGAAATTATTAAAAATATATTTATACTTTTGATAGTAGTTTTAATATTTCAAATATAATAGTAAATAACCGTTTTCATTAATTCGTTGTCAAATAACTGGAGATCATTGGAGACACTTCAACTTGAAGTGTTTAACACTGATATACGAGTATTATAAAGAGATTTTCTATAGGTCGCAAGGTAAATGCCCAACTCAACTTGTTGTCTTCCCCTTTGATCCAGCAAACCTATGCAGCAAATTGTAGGAGGCCAGGTGTGTCACCCTCAGTGTTCGGATTTTGGATGTCAGTTTTTATAGGTCCTGTGTAGTGTATTATTGTATTATAATAAGTGTGTACTTCCTCATTTACAGTGAGTGAGCGCTTCTATTCAATAGGCAGCGTATTTTTATTCGAGAGGAGAATTCGCAAAAGTCGCAGCTTTACCAGAGAATTTAACTCTGGATTTTGGATCATGCCCCCCCCCCCCGATTCTGTATTACCCCATGCGCTTCCGTTTCGTGGCTCACACTTGGACGGTGGTCAATGATCACTGGAGTCGCAAGTCACGATCAGATGACTGGCTGCCACTATTTGGAGATTGTTCTGTCACAAAGCTGCATCTTGTTGAGGTGCACAGTGAGCTTCAGCTAGAATCGGGGGTCGCCGTGAATGAGGGGTGTGCTTTATTGTAAAGTGTCGCTTTCTGTTTAAGAGATAATTTATCTTGGAGTCTCGATGATAGAGATCAACTACTGTAGTATGCAGAAGTACTTAAGTGCTACGTAGTATACGATTCTTGTGGTATTCAACGATTCCAGGTACGAGCTTTTCTCTATTTCTCGTCGCTGAAAGTCATCTTCATTAAAACATTTTATCACACTTCCAACTTATGTGTTGCGTTGGAGCCTTATTACAGTAATTAGCAGAATCCGGAAGCCATTCCGAAAGGCCCACATACCAAATCACAGATGCATGCCGGAAAAACAGGCCCTCCTCGTCAACATCATTATTTATTCCGGACGAGAGTGTATAGGGTGGATTAGACTTGATTTTTGTATGCAAATAGAATGTCTTACAATTTGTATGCTAAGAGGCACGTGCCATTCATTTCCCCCCATTCAGCATTCGAGACCCCAAGCAAGAGTTTAAGCGTCCACGGGTAGGTTCCGCTGCCTGTCGTCGTTGTTTCGCGCCCGCGTAGCTCAGGGGTAGAGCGGGAGGCACCTTCTCCAGGCCGCTGGCTCGAGTCCAGCCGTGGGCAAGCTGATCAACCTTGATCTGTGCTGTGTCGTGTGTTGTGGTGTGTTTGAATACGCAGGCTAGCTACGCAAGGTCAGAAGCGGTCCATTGGTGCGATACAGGCGTGCAGGAGTCGACGATGATGCCATTAGTGACCAGCCCCAGGTACTGCGCTGCAAGCGCTTGGTACGCAGCCGGATGTGACGACTGCAGCGCGTGCCATCGCTTTCGGAGAGTCGATACTTTGGATGTCGGCTTTTTGCCGTCGAATTTGTGGAGACGCTCATTTGCTGTACGATCCATCGACCCGGCCAAGGCCCAGACTGCGTGCTTCCAGACGTCATGCGCGGCTTTATCGGAGTGTGTCGGCTGTGCTGGGATCTGGCATGGCGCTTGGTAAAGCACCTTCATGATATTCACTGCGGCTTTAAATTCGGCACGTTTATTCTGCTCTTTTTTGCCTTTGACTGTTTCCCAGATGCGATGAAGATACCAATTCAAAAGCTGCCAGTCAGTGTTGAAGCCGTCGCAGGAGCCGCTACCACAGGCACAGCTTGCCCAGGTCCATCAGCCGAGGAACCAGGACCCAATTCAGCCTCTATTGTCCGGACGGTGACAGCAGCGACAGCGTCTTCAATGCGGGCAATGCGATCGTTGATTGATGTCAGCTGAGCAAGCACATTCTCCAACGTAGACGACAGCAGTGACTCGCTACCAGCGACGGTGCGGCTAAGCTGCGAGTGATTCGTGGTGCGCCAGCGAGTCGCCAAGTGCAAGCCACATTCACAGCACGTGCTTGTTGAGACATGGCAGCCAAGCGCTGCATTGGTGGAAGCAATACCTCGCTCCAGCTCGCATAGGTAACGTGATACGTGCGATGGCGACGACGCTGTGTTTTTTATGGTGGCTAACACCGTCTCCATGTGCATGAGCAGCACTGCAAAGGTTACGTTGGCCACTTCAACAGATACATTTAGGCGAGGATCCGGTGAGCCGAGGGCATGCTGCTAGAGCTGATTTCGCAGCGTAATAACTTGCCCAAACTCCGCGACTGTGAGACGCTCTTGCAGGTCTTCATTGCTTGGAGTTGCTAAAGGTAAGTCGGGCGACTCATATCCCACAAGAACTTTTGCTACACTTTGATCCTCACGAGTCGTTGCTCCTATGTATGCAAACGCTTTAGTCAACGAGTCCAACAGCCACGCGCCTCGTGTTGATATCCACTGGATCGCAAGCTTCGGAGACGCGTTAGCATATGCAGCAGCCCCACGACGCAAGGAATGGCTGGTCATGTTGGGCGTCACTTCCTGCCGCGTTTCCTGCGGCATCTCCCTCAAGCAATCACGCATAACTTCGGTAACGTAACCTGCAATATTCGGACGTTTGCGTTCACGTTTTAACGGATGTTCACTTTCTTTTTCTACATCGTGTTGCAGGCTCTCCCAGAATATTACAGCTTCTTCCTGTGTGTACGTCTGGCTGCCAGGAAGTTTGGACACCGCGTACCGAGGAACAAGCGGAAATAGGTACTCGAACGGCTCATCGTAGCAGACAAAAAGCATGCCAAATGCATGGAGCATGCATTGCTCCCAGCGTTCTGCAGACTTGTAAATAGAGACACCTTGTACGACTGAGGTTTTAATTCTCGCAATATGAACAAATAGTTCACCAGAAGCTGCCACCGATAGTTGTTGCTTTCTAGCAAAGCACGTGTCAATCGCTCTACCAAATGTGTGCCACATCATCGTAAGCAGAGCTCCGTCATGAATGTTCTTGAGCCCAGTGGCAACATCAGCATGGACAACTAAATGATCCACTAGCAAGGATAGGTCGTTTAAAGTACAGCCTGGGGCATCATTTGTCTGCACATTCGCACGCAAATTTCGTTCATCAATCGCACTCGTCATCTTGTCACGAATTTTAGCGATACGCTTCGAATCTTGAAGCGAATCACTGTAGCGCTCTCTTAGCAAATTTACCACCTAAGAGAAGTACCCCAGAGCAGTTGCCTTGGCTAGATAACCATCAGCAGCACGAGACTTGCTACTTTTTTTGGTCTGTAGGAAAATTAAGAAAGCTGTTAAAAGTGAGTAAAAGTTCTGCATTGGTAGACTAGTAGTTGCTACAAGAGATGCATGCATTTTATCGAGCGCAACACTGTTTAGGTCTGCTGAGCACAAAAACTCGCTGAACACCTTCACAGCAGCCACTTCTTGCCCGACGGTGCCAGCGGCCGTGTCGAGGCCACGAGGCGCCCTCTTCATAGTAAATTCAGAAGTTAAGATGTCTTATCGATGTTGGTTTCCGGCAATAGTTATACTTATCCGATAAATCCAAAAGCATCTTTGTTTAAGTATAAGAACTTATTTTGGCGCTCTTAAAAATGACGGACACTTCCGGAAATAAGTCGGAATAAATTACCCCTATGCACAACGGACTCTGATTGGTGTAAATATTAGTTTTTCGCTTCTAATTGGTTGCAAAGCGCATATATTACTACAAAGGGCTGGGGTCTCCGTCACAAAAAGACTTATCCTACAATAAATCGGAAATTTCATCTTCGTTTGCCAACGAGGTCGGTGAGAGTGTTTCCAGTGTTTTGACATTGATACACTTCTAAATCTTCTCTTCTCCTTATTAATAGCCTCTTCGTTGCCACTTTCTACAGCCGAAGCTCGCTACATCGAAAATGCCGTTTCACGTCGGGCTCTCTAATTTGGCACGAATTGCGTCAATCCACGTTGGCACTTCGCCTGCGTCACCTCCGCAGTTCATAGCGGAAACCGCCCTCACGCCAGGCGGCAATCTGCACCTGACGATATCGCGGACGAGAGTCCGCCAATGTAACAGTCTGCTAAAAGTCATTGTTTAAAACGCTAGTTCGATAATTTCGGTGTGCGCCTCGATTCGACCTTGACCGCTTACCGTGCATGTACCTGTCTTGCGTTGGTGGATGAACCGAGTCGAGCACCCGACTGCACTTCAGTCACACGGTACAGTAGCGGGCGGAGGAACGACACATCCTCGACGGGGATGAGGCTCGCCCAACCAGGTTGGCAACCTGGCATCCACTCACTGAGTGAGTGGCAGTCACTGCCAGTCAGTGGATGCTTGACGTGGTTGCTTGGATGGCTGCACGCGCCAGGACCACTTCGCAGTGTCTTTGCCAACATTGCGCTGCCTGCGCTTACCCCCTCGAATCGCAGCGAAATCGGAAAAATATCCTGCTTGCGGTTTATTGCTTGGCTTTCCTTCTCGTCGTAACGAAGGCTTTAATTGCTGTACTTGTTCGCTGGCAACGGCTCATTACCAATTGCCTCTGGCAGACTTGCTTGTTCGAACACGCCAGCTCCTTAACGAAGCAGCACAAAGCTCACTATAAACAGCCGGAACAGCCGGGAATCGATTTTTGCAGCAAACCTTGCAAATGCAAGTTGCATTTCGTCTCGTGGCTTTACCCCTTTTCTTTCATTCCACGCATCGACTCGTCGACTCTCGACTGCCGGGCGGTACCATTTTCGACGGCAAGGATCTCTTCAGCTCTTGAGCCAGGAAAGGGTGCAGAGCGCCGGTCGGTATCCGTGCCGACGATCGCAATGCCAAGCGATTCGCATGGCCACTGGCCAGCAAAGAACCTCATGCAAATCGCGTCATTTTCATTTGGAATTAGCTTATTTACGACCTTTTAGGGGATAAAAGATGTTTAACATTTTTATGCGTGTCTCATAAATTAGGCAGCTAACTTAATTCAGTAAAAAATACTTAAAGAAAACATCTCACCGTTTGTGCCTTTGCTACAGTTAATTATGTATTAGAGGTACGAGAAAACAAATTTGAATCGAATTTCCTTAAAGGAGTCTCTTTAAATATGGAAGGCTAAAATATTTGTGGTGTTCGTTTTTGTGCAGTTTGAAGTAGCTTTTTACTGAATTATGTAAATGACGTCGCCGCGCAGGCTCATGACGCTCCGGAACCAGGAGATGGGGTGCACGCCACCTCGCGAGCCGCGATTCAGAGGACGCGCGTCACTCTGCAATTGGCATCCTCGCGCGCAAAGCAACGCCCGGACACCCGCCTCATTTACGCCCTCGCCAACTTCAATGGAGTCCTCGTCCAATCTGGCCCAGCTGCGTCCGCACAAGACGCGTGAGCTGCTCGCGGCTGCTCCCAAGGTGGCGCGCGCGCACCAGCAGAGCATCTTCCAGAGCATGTGGATTGGCGCTACCGCCGGCATGGGCGGCATCATCGCCGTGTACCCCGTGGACGTGGTCAAGACGCGCATGCAGAACAGCCGGGTAGCCACTAGCGCCGTGCAGACGCTCACCACCATCTTCCGAAAGGAGGGTGTTGGCTCCTTCTACAAGGGCCTGGGCCCGCAGCTTTGCGGCACCATTCCGGACAAGGCTGTGTCCCTCGCTACGCGTGAGTTTGTCAAGAGCTTCTTCGACAAGCCCAACGAGTTCAAGGCCTCGTTCACGTCTGCGGCTGTCTCGGGTGTCATGCAGTCCATTGTCATGAACCCTGTCGAAGTCGTTAAGGTGCGCATGCAACTGGACAGCACGTTGAAGCCGCTCGGAGTCATCCGCGAGCTGGGAATGCAGGGTCTTTACCGAGGATACACAGCCTGCCTCTCTCGAGACGTTATGTTCGCCTCCACGTACTTCACGCTGTACGATATGGCCAAGACGCAGCTGGGAGTGCAGGACGGCACGTCGCTCGGCTGGTCGATGGTCGCAGCCTCGACGGCTGGAATTCCCGCTGCCTTCCTGTCGACGCCTCTGGATCTACTGAAGACACGCATGCAGTCGCGTGACGCCACGGTCCACGGCCTCATGAACACGTACAGACAGGTGACTGCTCAAGGCGGCGTCGGCGCGCTCTTCTCCGGCTGGGGGCCTCGAGTGACCCGCATTGCGCCACAGTTTGGTATCGTACTGGTGTCCTTCGACTGGCTGTCGCACCGCTTTAGCCCCGCTGTTGAGCACCTTCCTGAGCCTGCAGACACAGACGCGTACGCCGACTACTAAGAAGCCACGAACGCCAGTCAGACCAGCATATCATACGAACATTAGTCCTTGTTAAACTTATGAGAAAAAATAATACACCAAACGCGTGTGCAAACACTAGCTCAACATGCTCAACATCCCCATCATCACCATTGACCGTCATCACCTTGGAAGTATCCATTTTGACACAATGAAAGATAGCTACATTATGACAAGATCAATGTGTTTTCCTTACACGCAGTTATCTAAGAGCGAGACCAAGTCTCTCTTATGGCTTCCTTACGCCTCCTTGGCGAGCCACGCCAGCTCTGTCTTGCCAGATGCCTTGGCGAATGCCTTCGCGTCCAAGAAAACCTCCACGTCGGCCTTGAGCGCCACCTGCGCACTTGCCGTGCGCACAGTGACCGCAGCGTCCGCAGACTCGAGCGCAGCCTTCACATCCGCGTACTTCATCGACGCAACGTACGCCGTCAGCTGCTCCACCGGCACAGTCGCCTCGTGCTTCTTCAGCACGTCATGAGACGCAAACAGCACGGCAGGACGAGCCACCACGAGCTTCACACTCGAGTCGGCGAACTGCGCGTCCTCCGCCACAATCGGCACACTGTGCGGAGGCTGCAGAGACAGCGGGGCAGGCGACGTGCCCAACGTGGACGAGATCATCGACAGGAACGTCTGGACGGCCGTAGAGATGGGGCCCTTGTCGCCTCCCTTCTCCTCAAAGTACACGTGGATCTTGTCCTGCACCACCAGTCCCGCCTTCTTCCGCAGCTTCTGCACTCGCGTGATGACTTCACGTGCACATCCCTGCATCTTCAGCTCCTCGTCCTCACGCGTGTCAATGATGACCATGAGGTTTCCTTGGGGCGACACATCCGCCTCAAAGATCTTCGCGTCGCCCTTGAACTCCCGCTTGACCAACAGGTCGTCGCCGGTCAGTTCGTGGCCGTCAACCGTCACACGGCCACTCGCAACAAACGCAGCCACGTCGTCGTGCGTCATCTGCGCGATCTGCTTCTTCACGGCCGACAGCGCCTTGCCCAGACGACGTCCCAGCGCTCGACTGTTCGCCTCGGCCTTGAGCACGCACCACTCCTTCTCGTCCGTCGAGAACTCGAGGTCGCGCATGTTCAGCTCGTCGTGTAGGTACGTCTCCAGCCGACGCAGACCGTCCAGCGTCTTCTGGTCGCTGGACACCACAATGACCTTCTTCACGGGGTTCTTCAGCGAGATGGTGCGACGCTCACGTACGACGCGCCCCATCTCGACCACCGACTGCAGGTTCTTCATGAGCACTTCCACTTGCTCGTCCACGCGACTGGCGTCAAAGTCCGGCAGCATGAGGAAGTGGACGCTGGGGGACACACCGTCCGCGTCTTCAGCCAGGTCTTTGCCGTCGCCGTTCACTACGTTCGGGTGGAACTGACGCAGGAATTGGTACATGTACTCGGTGAAGAAGGGCGTGAAGGGAGCCATGAGTTTGGCCAGGTTGTACTCTACTTCGTACAGCGCCGAGAGCGCCACTGCAGCCTCCGCACTGCCAGCACTGCCCTTGAGGCGAGGACGGTTGAGACGCACGTACCAGTTGGTCAACTGGCCGATGAAGCTAACGAGACGCGGCACCACAGTGTACAGACGATAGGCCTTCATCTCCTCGTGCACAAACTTGATGAGGTTCTGCAGCGCAGCGATGATCCACGAGTCCATGACGTTCGTGGAGGCCAAGGCGGCAAGACGGTCGGGAACAAAGGCCGCTCCAGTCTCCAGTTGCAAGCGCGTGGCCTGTTGCGCGAAGAAACGAGCCGAGTTGAACCACGGCAAGAAGATCTCGCGGATGACTCCAAGCACGCCGGGCGCCTGGAACTTCAGAGGCTCAGCACGCACCACCGGCGAGTTGATGAGGTACAGACGCAGGGCATCAGCGCCATACTTTTGCAGGATCTCCTCTGGGTCGGTGAAGTTCTTGAGGCTCTTACTCATCTTGCGACCGTCTTCAGCCAGCACGAGGCCATTCACAATGAGGTTCTTGAACGCTGGCGTGTCGAACAGCGCCGTGGACAGCACCATCAGAGTGTAGAACCATCCACGGGTCTGATCCAGACCTTCCGCCACGAAATCCGCCGGGAAATTGGCCTCAAACTTGCTCTTGTTCTCGAACGGATAGTGCTGCTGAGCGTACGGCATGGAGCCGCTCTCGAACCAGCAGTCAAACACCTCGGGGACACGACGCAGCACGCCCTTGCCTTGCTTGGACGGGATTGTCAAGTGGTCGATGAACTCGCGATGCAGATCCGTCACCTTCTCGCCCGTCAGCGCCTCCAGCTCTGCGATGGAGCCCACACACACCACCTCTTCATAGTCGTCACTCACCCACAACGGCAGTGGTGTTCCCCAGAAGCGACCACGTGAAATGTTCCAGTCTTTACCGTCCACCAGCCAGTTGTGGAAGCGTTTCTCCTGCACGAAGCTCGGCACCCAGTACGTGAGCTTGTTGTTGGCTACAATGCGGTCGCGGATACGCTCCACGTTGACGAACCAGCCAGGGATTGCGCGGTAGATCAGCGGCGTGCCCGAGCGGTAGCAGAACGGGTAGCTATGCACCTCTGTGCCCTTGGAGACGAGACGACCGCGAGTCTTGAGCTCCTGACAGATAACGTCGTCCGCCTTCTTCACGTGCAGTCCCTTAACTAGCGGCACCTCGTCCGTAAACACGCCGTTGTCGTCCAGAGGGTCCGGGAGCGTGAACTTGTCGGCCACACCTTCACGCACACAGACGCGGTAATCGTCCTCACCGAACGTAGGAGCTTGGTGGACAATACCGGTACCACCAGAGTCGGACACGTAGTTATCCGAGAGCACACGGAAGGCGTTGGGCCAGTCCTTGAAGCAGTCGAACAGAGGCTCGTACTTCTTGCCTACTAGCGTCGCTCCCTTGAACTTCTCAAGGACCTCGAACTCTCCTCCCTTGTAGCCCTTCTTGCTCATCTTTGGGTACACTTGGCACAGCCGCGCTTCGCCCAGAATGTACATTTTCTCGCTCTTCACGTCCTTGATCTTGACATAGTCGAATGATTCGTTGACACACAGCGCCAAGTTGGACGGTAGAGTCCATGGGGTGGTAGTCCAGGCCAGAAACGCGACGTCCGGCTCGTCGACGAGAGGAAAGTTGACGACTACCGAAGGATCGGGGGTGTCACGGTAGTCCAAGTTGGCCTCGAAGTTGGAGAGCGACGTAGTACAGGCGGTAGAGTACGGTAGAATCTTGTACCCACGGTACACCAGGTCCTTGTCGAAGATGGTTCGGAAGACGTTCCAGACCGACTCCATGTACCACGGCTCCATCGTCTTGTAGTCGTTCTCGCAGTCGATCCAGCGACCAATACGCTTGACGACACGCTCCCATTCGCTCGTGTAGCGCTGCACAATGCTGCGACACTCGGCGTTGTACTTGTCGATGCCCATTTCAAGCACCTGCTCCTTGGTGGTGACGCCCAACTTCTTGTTGATCTCATTCTCGACGGGGAGGCCGTGGCAATCCCAACCAAAGCGACGTTCAACGTAGTGGCCTGTCTGGTGGGCGTAGCGCGTGACCGTGTCCTTGATGGTGCCGGCTAGAATGTGGCCGTGGTGTGGCAGACCCGTGGCGAAAGGCGGACCGTCGTAGAAAGTGAAAGGCTTACGGTCTTTGGACAGCTCCAGAGACTTGTGGAAAGCGTCCAGCTGTTCCCAGAGCGCCAAGATCTTCACCTCCTCATCGGGGAACGAGATGCGCTCGGGTAGCGAGCGTGATGCAGCCGAGTCTTGCGCCATCGTACAGGGCGGACGGCGACGTGAGTCTGGTTTGAACAGATGCGATATGAGGGGTGTCAACGATGGCTGGCCGAGCAGTGGCATAAATGTACCGATGTTTTGGTACATATTTGGAAAGATCTCCTGGTTGTTTGCGTGAACAGTTGGCTACACTTTGCAGTGCTTGTTTGTCATGTACGTCTCACCGTTTGCCAACGAGGCTCACAGTATGAGCTTTGCCTGTACCGGTACATTAGTATGAACGGATCATTTTTCTTCTTTGCCCCCCCCTCCCCCCTGTGTTCATCGAAATATCTCTTGACGAAGAGCTCCGTGACTCACGGGTCCAGGACCGTGACGAATCCAGAAAAACCGTGAGTGATAATCCTCATTTGGTATGATAACGGTACCTCGAGATTGATGCTCTGCCTCATTGCCTTTCGGAACTCTTCATGCTGAGAATAAACGTACTGTAGTTGATGCGAAACAAAGCCGAATGTTGGGAGAGCTTTTGTGGATGCAATACATGTATTAATTCTTCAACGTGTTCTTCTCGTACTCCCAAACGCAAATGTGCTACTACTGTATTAAACAAATGGTCAAGGTAGAATATTTCAAGCCTTCGGTGGGGTTGGCTGGCGAACGTGGCAAAGAATAGATGAATGTGTCTACGTAGTAGTCTCTAGCACCCCCGATTGTAATCAAAGAATAGATGTACAAGTACGTGTCTTAATAATGGCTCAATCCAATGCATTTGTGCCACAAATGCTTACCACAAAAATTGTCGGGTAAAACCGAGGTTGCAGCAACAGGTTCTCAGCTATTGGACAGCTGCTATTTAAAACTGTGAGTCAAGGGTTGAAGTTTCACATTTTGGGCTCAGTAAAATATGCAAAGGACACGTGAACCTATATATCGGTAATACTGGATCATACGCGCGGGTCCCTAATATTTGCTGTCACTCGATCGAGGAACAGCAAATTATGACTGAATCGATATTCATTGGTGTAAAACAGACCACTCTTAAAAGCTTGTTTTGACCAATCCGCATGTAGTTGTTGCTCATCACGACGACGCTGTCCGTAGTTAAGAGCTCACCAAGGTCCACGAACGCGCTACCTCGACCGCCACCAAAGAATCTTCATCAGCCATGGGCAAGGTCGACTCGTCCCAGGGCATCCTGGTGCAGATGTTCATCATCTCGCCCTCCATTTCTTGGATCCTCAAGCCTGGACGCTTCTCCAAACGCCGAGGCTTCATCTACGCCGTCGCCTTCCTCGTGGCCATCGCCGCCGTCACCATCGTACGTCCCAACCACTCAGCAATACACTGCAAATTACTATGCCGTCTTACCGTCTACCACTACGTTATCACAGGGTATGGACTTATACGCACAAGAGGAGAACTTCTACCACCTCGTGGGTGTGGGCCGTGATGCCTCCTATACCGACATCAAGCGTGCCTTCCGTCAGCGCTCAGTGGAGCTTCATCCGGATAAAAACCCATCGCCCACCGCCTCCGAAGATTTTAACCGTCTCCGATTGGCCTTTGACGTACGATTTAGACCAGTTGTAGACGCTGGTTGATGGTTCTGACGTTCGTATATTGCTACAGGTTCTTGGAGACGCCAATAAACGTCCACTGTACGATTTGTTCGGCGAAAGTGCGGTGGATAAGGACCTGTGGTCATTGCAGATCGAGACGCTCGTGGGCTCCCTGACGTTCTACGCCATCTGGGCTGTACTCACGTTCATCCTGACGCTGAGTGAGAAGGCCAAGGAGGCGCGAGCGTGGTCGCTGGCTGCCGGTGTCTTGTGCTTCGTACTGGAGCTCAACTTTATCTACGGCGGCGGACGCTTGCCTCCGTATTTCTTCCCTACGATGACAGTGTGCGACTTCGTGGAGATCATGCACTCGGTGTTCCCACCGTTCCTCAACGGATGTCGTGCCATTGGAGAATATTTCCACCACGACTTGGCCCGCGAGAACTTCGCACTGAGCGTGGAGTTGCTCAAGAGCAACCAAGCGATTCTGCTGAACATGCGTCAACTGCAAGGCGAGGTGGCGTCGTCCTCGCGTCGTCGTCCGGAGGTCGTCAAGAGCGACCCGATCCCTGCTGCAGCCAGGAAGCGCTTGAAGATGGAGAAACACAATACTGTGTCGCAGGCTGGCGACTCGGCGACGGACGACAAGGCAGCGGCTGAAGAACTGCGTAACGTCGCAACTCCAGAGCCAGAAGTGCAGAAGAGTGGCAATGGTCTCGGTATTCCCCGATGGGTCTGGGGTGTTGGCATCTTCGTTGCGCTCAATTACTTCTTCGATTAGAGAACTCCCCCACATTACAAGGAGGTTTGTGTGTCAGCAAAACAAGACACACTTTGGTATAGACATCTTGTAACACCTTGGTATTGGTTAAGGTCGAAGTGGAGCTGTAGACTTCAACTTGGTCAAAAGTTCTGCTGAACAACGTCCCATTTAGGTTGACGTCCACGGCAGCTTCTCCAGGTCCACGTTTCCACCCGAGAACACGATACCAACGTTGGTGATTCCCGCTGGTAGCTTGTGTGCGAGGACGGCCGCCGCCGCTACTGCTCCACTGGGCTCGACAACCTGTAGCGCACAGGTCAATACTGTCCTGTGTGTCTGCATAACAACGAGCGATCCTTACCGACTTCATGCGTTCCCAGATCAGCTTCATGGCTGACACGATGTCGTCGTCGGAGACGAGTATGATCTCGTCCACGAAGTCGCGCACAACCGGCCAGTTGTTGTCGCCTGGCACAACCATAACCGCGTCAGTTGGCGAGATTTTCCGCAGGGTCTCAGCGCTCTCTTACCCAGAGTCGTCCGAAGGCCGTCAGCCACGGTATTCACAGGACCAGTATGGCCTGTCAGCTGGCGTTTTTGGAAGGAATTGTAGGCGTCAGCAGCCCCCGTGGGTTCCACGGCGAAGACCTTGATACCGGGCTGGATAGACTGTCAATTCCAGCGTCAGCTTCCTTCTAGTACGTCACACACAAGCACGAGTTACCTTTGCAGCCATGGCTACACCAGAGCAGAGTCCTGCACCTCCAATTGGCACAACGATAGCGTCCAGCTCGACGCCATACTCCTGTTTAGCCTGCTCCAGCAGCTCCAGTGCGACTGTACCCTGTCCACTCATGACGTCAGGGTCATTCGACGGGTGCACAAAGCGAGCTCCGGTCGCCTCCACCACGTCATTTGCAGCTTTCTCGCGTGCCTCATTGGTCGATTCACACAGCAGCACTTCAGCGCCGTAGCCACGAACGGCGTTCTGCTTGACACTCGGCGAGTTGTTGGGCTGCGATGTGCGTGCCGGTTAGAAACGTACTTTGCATATTGTCCACAATTGATAGCGCTCACCATGACAATCACAGCCTTGCAGTTGGCATCCCTGGCCGCAAGACTCAAAGCCTGCGCGTGGTTCCCACTCGAGTGCGTGACGAACGTCGTGTCTGTCTTGTCACTCTCCCCTTTCTCCTGCAGATACTTCTTGACGGCGTTTAATGCACCGCGGTACTTGAACGCCCCCACCCTCTGAAGGTTCTCACACTGCGACACAGCTCAATACTCTGCCAACAACAATTCGACGGATATTGGATACCTTGAAGAACAGACGCTGGGGAGATCCATTTCCCGCAGCGATAGACTCAAGCGCATGACACGTGAGCACAGGTGTGCGGTGCGCAAAGCCATTGATTCGCTTTGCAGCGGCCTGTACACTGGTCAGCGAAATAGCGTAGTCGGTCGAAGACATAATGTCTGAAGACTACCTAGTGGTACTCCAAAATGCCAGCCTCATTTACCTCGTGTTGGTGCCTCATTTAAGACGGAATGCCTCGTTTAGCTGGCTTGTAATTTTTTATTGAGGTGGTATAGAATGACCTGTCAACTGTAATACCGAGCTCATGGTGTGAAATAAGATAGGTCTCTTTTTAAGAAATCTAATGGGGAAATGGTATTGTATTGCTCCTGTCCTATGCAAACACTATATTCGCATTGCACAGGACAGCTGTAAGGCGATAACTAAGGCCGTGTTCGGTTTGTCGGATAATTCCTCTAAGTCTTATGCTCACGTCCTTAGATAAGATCAGGTTCTCTAGTTAGAATGCTATATATAATGTATGTAGGATCAGTGAGGACACGAGGCTTGTGAGGAGAGTCTTTTTCATTCGTGAAAGCTCCACCTCCCCACCAAGCGTCGTGTCCAAGATCCCGGAGGCTTTGCCCCTCCATCCAGCGTTCAAATCTTTCTTCTACGCTATAGCAGCTATTCAAGAGGTTATGAGCCCAAACAGGCCGATACGCCACGTCCAAAAATCGACTAGCTCCTCTCAAGGCTCAGACGACTCTCGTGAAAGTAGTGACGATGAGTCATCGTCCTCCGACTCGTCCGATGCTTCAGCATCGCCATCATCAAGATCGAGCTCAAGTGACGTTTCTGTGCAGTCAGAGGCTGATAACTCAGACTCTGCGTCTTCTGATAGCTCTCGTGAGAAACGAGAGCGCTCAAAGAAGCGTAAGAGCTCCAATCACACCGACGGTTACTTGTTGATTGCGATCCTGTCATGCTCTTCCAAGAGATTGAAAAGGAGTACAACGCTGGAAGTGCAGCAAAGAACGATATTTCGAACAAGTCGGCCATGTTTGTGCGGAAGCTGGTTAAGGAGGAACGTGTGGATACTAACATCGACTCGATTATGAAGCTACAAGAAGATTAAGTGACGCTGGGTCACCCGCTCGACGAAGCTGAACTGGCTCGTCTTCTTCCTATAAATGCCCTTGATGTGTTTCCCGATCTAAGTAGCGAGCTGGTAGCTGCCAGGATAAAGGGCGATGTATTGGAAGTCGGCAAGGTGCGAGGTCGGCTATTGGCTCGAGAACAAGAAGAGCTGATGCGTGGTCCGTGCAGACTCCACACGAACTGGTCCACGAGACGCGAATATGACAGCTTCACAGCAAAACCAGGCACCAATATTTCAGTTATCGAGTGATCAAAACTATCGAGGTAGAGGCCCCCGCTGGCATCATAGGAGACATCCATTGAGTCGGAATCGGAATCATCACAGCCAGAGAAATTCGATTTAAGAAGCAATGCAACGGCGACCCTCTTCTAATTGTGGTGAATTTGGCCACTAGCACAAGGACTGTAGGAAATGCAGCAAGCCACACGGAGCGAAGTCACACTCACGGCGCAGCAACCACAGTAATCCACGTACTTCCTCAGGCAGGAGCGATGATCAACGACAAAGAGGTGTGGGTCCGACAGCATTGATGGCATCTCTGGTTGGGTCACATGGAAAGCCACAATCAGACGTGGTCGAGTGGTGTCTCGATAATGCTGCAACAATCAACGTCTGCAACGGTCTCTCCTGTTTCACTGAAATCGCTACAATTAAAGATGGTCCAGTAATGACTTGCACCAGTGGAACCTTGGTGAGGCTAAACCAAATTGGATCAGTGGAATTGAGTGTCAATAACGAAATGACACGTCGCCGCGAGAAGCGAATACTGTCTGATGTGTATTACGTGCCCGATGCTCCGGTCAATTGGGTGTCTCAGTACTACATGCAGACGCGTTTGAAGTACTTTGTAAAGATGCCTGGTGACCAGTCAACCTGCTTTCTGACCAAGTCAGGATCACGTATCAAGTTTGTGAAGGTGAGTGGACTGTATCGCTTGTGGTCTCTACGTGAGCAGCAGAAGGAACAAACCGTGGTGTACAGTGCAATTGTCAAACCCAAGAAGTCTATTTCCTTGTCCGTCTGGCACAAACGCTTTGTACATGCAAGTGAGGCAACTATCTTGGATATGATGAAGAAAAATGTTGTACGTGGGCTAACGATTCACACCGATGTGTCTTCCGTGCCTACATGGCAAGAAGGTGCGAATGTCGTACAGTGAGCGTTTACAACGTGCTGAAAAGCCACTGCAGAAACTTCAGGTTGACGTTTGCACAGTTAACGAGCTTAGTATTGACGGCAGCATCTCATTTCTACTAGTGGTCGATGAATTCTCTCGATACAAGTGAATTTTCCTTTCACGACAGAAGCGTGAAGCAGCACAGCACCTTGTCGCACTCGTAAATCGGTTACATACGCAGTTTCGCGATAGAAATTTAAAGGTGGAGGCGATTCACTCGGATCAAGGTGGTGAATTTGACAACAGCAGCATCAGAAGCTTCAGTGACACACAGGCGATTGGGCTTACGCTCACCAACGGATACAGTCCCCAGGAAAATGGTATAGTTGAACGTGCGAACGGAATCGTGCTACCCAAGGTTCGAGCACTAACCTGCCAGATTTGTTGGGGGAGGGGGAAGCTGCGCTACACGTGGTGTACACCCTCAATATTACGACAACAAGAGCTCTCAACGGTCTAACTCCACATGAAAAGCTGTCTGGTGAAAAGCCCGACGTATCGTTTCTCAGGACTTGGGGTTGTTTGAGCTACTACCCTATTGCGGGTGCGTCTTGTTCGAAGAAGCAGAAATTATCTTCCAGAATGGGCACCTGTATTCTCGTCGGACACTCTCCAGCAACGCATGGCTACAAAGTTTTGGATTTATCTAGTGGCGCAATCTCAACACATCGTGGATGTAATTTGGTATTTGTTGAAGACTATACGGTGAGTCGTTCGTACATGGAAATGCTGTTGGCAAAATGCATACCAGCATGGAGATCACGTGCTTCCCCCTCGTGCACAACTGGCTCCGATGTTAATGGTGGTTGATGACGTTGTCAAGTTGGATGCTGTGAATGAGAGTGTACTAGTCTCACCAAACGGAACGGAAAATCACTCACAGGCATCAGATACTTTCAGACCACCTAAGAACAGTAACATCGAGCGCCATTCAGAACCTAAGATGGTTTCCTCGCAATCTGCCTTTGAAACGATAGCTCAAGAGAGTACAATAGCAGAAAGTGATATAGTTAGACGGCATCAAGTTTCTCGTTTTGGACGAAAGCGGAAGCGGAATTCAAAACTAGAACATTTACGGTACATTTTGCATCACACAAGTTAGTGAAGGCATTTTTGACAGCTTTACAAGGTCCTGGTGGTAGTAGATTACACTCACGCGAAGTGCCAATTCCTGCGACGTACAAGCAGGCCATTCGGTCGGCATTAGCGGAGTCCTGGCAAGTGGCAATGGAAGATGAGTTAAATTATCTGCGCCGACATGGGGTTTGGTAGGTGGTGAATCGAACAAAAGCTGGAAAGGAGATTGTTATCACAAACAAGTGGGTATATATTGTGAAGAAAGATGAAAACGGGTTTGTGGTGAGGTTTAAAGCACGTCTTGTCGTTCATGGCTTTAAGCAAAGATTTGGAGTCAATTACAATGAAACTTTTGCCCCGGTCATTCGCTTTGATACAATCCGACAACGGCGGTTATCAGTTTTGCAGTATGATGCTAAAACGGCTTTTCTGCATGATAAATTGTCAGAGGTGGTGCTCATGGAGTTACCTCAAGGCTGCGGTTCGCCAGGAAATCAGCAGATCTGTCAATTGATTAAATCTCTGTACGATTTGAAACAAGCACCGCATGTGTCTAACAAGATGCTTCATATTGATTTGGTTGCGCTTGGATTTGCTCGCATGGAAAGTGATCACGGGCTTTATTCTCTCCTCGAGAAGGGGAAGATTGTTATGCTCCTAACCGTCTACTAGAAGACCTACTAGGAGAATTATCTCTGCGAAGATATTGCACGAAAACTAGCGTCAAGCTTTGAACTTGTGGCTCTTGGTCCAGCTAAGTATCTTCTTGGAGTTGAAGTCACTGTTGATCGGGAGAAGAGCCAGGTATTTTTCAGTCAAGCTAGCTACATTGATGAAGTTCTCCGAAGATTTCATTTGCCCGAGTGCCACGGAATTGCTACACCAGAGCCAACATCCACTGAAGAAGAATCTACTGTTGAGAATGCTAGTGATACAAGCAGTTTGCCGTTCCGTGAAGTAGTAGGAGCACTGCAATATCTCGTATCGGGATCAAGGCCGGATATCGCTCACGCCGTGCGTCGACTAAAACAGTTCTTGTCTTTCTTCACAGCAGCTCACTACGCACGGGCAAAGCGGGTCATTCGTTACTTAAAGGCGACTAAGGAGTATGGACTGAACATGGAAGTGACAGGAGTGGACAAGCTGGAGTTGCAGTGGCTGGAAGCTTTTAGTGATGCGGACTACGCAAACGACAAAATTGATCGGCAGTCTGTAAGTAAATATGTTACTATGATCAATGGTAGTGTCATCTCGTATGGGTCTCGCAAGCAAGGTCTTAACGCTCAAAGTACCATGGAAGCCGAATATATCGCAATGAATGAAGGTGCACGCGATATTATGTGGCTGAGAGGTCTGTGTGATGAATTGTTGTGGGGATACAACACGCCAACACTTTGGTGCGATAACACGGCTGCAATAGCATTTGTGGTGTAGTAGAACACACAAATACCGTCAGATGTGGATTCCTTACACAAACCACAACGAATCGCCGAGTTAGGTCGGCGGTTGTATGGCCTGCGCAGAGAGTGGGTCCCCTCGCGGGCCCGGGCCCTTCCGGGACAGACGAGTGGCTCGCTTCACTCGGTTCCGACTAACCAAGTCAGATCACTTCCGAGGCTCCGCCGAGTTTGGTTCGGCTGAGCTCGTTCACAACCCTGTGCCCTCCACCAAAGGATGGACGACGGCGCGCGAGCGCTTTTACAGGTCACCGAGCGCAGAGGCTGCTCAGCTAGAAGTGTTACGGCACCCGGGCTACCCGACGTACCGGCCCGCTGAGTATGCGGGGCTTTCTTTCGCGCGTAGCGAGACTTTGTCCTACCCGGACCGACCTAATCTCTTGGCGCTACCAGTCAATACCCTACAAGCTATGCCTCTCGAGTATTGACGGCAGGCATAATCCATCCCTATGCA